GGTTGTCTCTCTAGAGGTGACCTACATAGGTTGGCATATTTGTAATAGTGATTCTTCAAGTTGTAGCTCTTACTGTTTTCATGTAAACCTTTTTCAGTTAATGTTTTGTTAATGCAATGTGATGGCATTATCTAACTTGTATTTGTCTTCCTTTTGTTTTTTGTTCCTTTTTTTATTATTTTTATTATTATTATTATTTTTTGCTTTTTGGGTCACACCCGGCAATGCACAGGGGTTATTCCTAGCTCTGCACTCAGGAGTTACTCCTGGCTGTGCTCAGGGGACCTTATGGGATGTTGGGAATCGAACCCAGGTCAGCCGAGTGCAAGGCAAACACCCTACCAGCTGTGCTATCTCTCTAGCTCCCTGTTCCTTTTTAAAAATAAATAAATAAGTAAGTAAATAAATAAATAAATTTACTGGGGCTGGAGAAAGATAGTACAGGGATTAATAGATAGGCTGATCCTGGTTCAGTACCTGGTTCATTTCCTTAGCACTGCCCAAGAGTAACTCAGAGCCAGTAGTTCAACTGGGTGTAGCTCAACCCTCCCAATCTATACCCCCCAAAACTGAATTTATTTTTATAAAGGGCAGTGTTCCGTAGTCATGGGGTGTTGTGTTGAACTTAAAACCCTCTCTGTATATTAGGCATATGTACCACCTGAGCTTTCTCCCTGAGACTCCCCTGCTTTTGGTGAAAACTGTTGTTTGTTGTTTTACTAATTTCTTAGGTTCTATCCCTAATAGAACCTGGGAATAGCACAGCAGGTAGGGCTTTTGCCTTGCACGCGGATGACCCGGGTTTGATTCCTCCATCCCTCTCAGAGAGCCCAGGAAGCTACCGAGAGTATCCTGCCCGCACGGCAGAGTCTGGCAAGCTCACCGTGGCGTATTTGCTATGCCAAAAACAGTAACAAGTCTCACAATGGAGACATTACTGGTGCCTGATCCAGCAAATCGATGAACAAGGGGAGGACAGTGCTACAGTGCTACAGTGCCTATCCCTAATAGCCCTGTGCCTGAGGCAAAGCTGATGCTAGCCTTAGCTTCTGGGGTGTGTCTAATTGGCAAAGGGAAGTGATGCTTCTTTGAACTTGCTTGGTTTAGGAATGATTTTTGTAAACCAAAACATGTGAGGAAAGTCTGGAAGTAATTAGTAGGAGTTCTCTCACTGTTGAGAAGAGAAATATGGGAAGAGAAAACTATTTCTTCTAAACATTTTGTCTAGCTGTGATTCCTAACACTGCTAGAAACATTCTCCAGTGACCTTGAAAATATATCAACTATAAAGGATACTAGTGTCTAGAGCCAGATAAAAACTGAGTCCTTACATTGCTGAGCTGCTGAGTAGAGCTGCTGCAAAGGCTTGTTCTTTTGTATTTATTTTGCAATAATTATACTTTTTTTCCCATTTGACAACCAAATAAACTTAATTGTCCTCCAGAATTTAGTGTAAGTTCCTACTTCTGAGGAAACTCTCAGACTGTCTATAATTTACGAAATACTTTGAAAATATGATATTCAAATGTGACTTCTGTGGTTCTATTAAATTGTAGTCCTTAAATTGTTTGATTTCTTGGCCTTGTTTTTTCAAGTTAATGTCAAGTTCTATTTTGTCAAACAACAAAATACCTTGTAGAGAGAAAGCCAAGCATCTGTTTTCTCCCACCCCTGCTAAATTTGCAATCACATGCCTACTAAGAGCTTATGAAACAGTAACTGGCATAAGGAAGCAGATTACTAAACTAAATCAAGCAGTAGTTAAAGGATTTTGAAATCTTTCTTTTGTTACTTATTTTCTAGTTGTCACCACTGACTGAAGAAGAGAAAGCTGCAGCAGAGCACTTCAAATTTTCTGTGTTAGTCTGATGAAGAAATGGACTTAAAAAAGGAGACTTCATGGCAAGAAATCAGTTCCAGAGAGATGTAGGATACTGCTGTCTTGTTAGCATCTGATTATCAGAGGAAGGATTATGAAGACTGGGCTCATGTGATTGGACAGCGATGCCCTCACAACAGAGGGGACTATAAGGGCAGATGCAATGTTTGGTTGAAAATATGGGATGGCAATAAAGGTATTAAAAACATACGTTGGGGGAGCTAGAGCTATAGTACAGTGGATAGGGCGTTTTCCTTGTATGCATCCGACCCGAGTTCCATCCCTGATATTCTTGTATGGTAACCCGAGCACCACCAGGAGTAATTCCTAAGAGCAGAGCCAGGAGTAACCATGAGCATCACCGGGTGTAACCCAAAAAGCACCAAAAAACAAAAACAAAACAAAACAAAAATATATGTTGGGCTGGCGCCATAGTCCAGTGGATAGGGCTCTGCTTTGCACATGGCTGACTGGGGTTCAATCTCTGGTATCCCTATGGTCCCCTGAGCACTGTCAGGAGTGACCCCTGAGCACAGAGCCAGGAATAAGCACTGAGCACTGCTGTATGTGGTCCCAAAATAACCCAACACCACCCTCCCAAGAAAAATATTGTTGTGTCAGAGAGATGCTATAGCAGGTAAGGCACTTGAGTGTGGACAGTGCTGGTTTGATCCCTGGCATGGCATTTGGTTCCCCGAACACTGCCCGGGGTCACTACTGAGCACAAAGTCAGGAGTAAGCTGTGAGCACATCTGAGGCCTTAGCTGCACCCCGACCACCCCATTTTGTTTTGCACACACACACACTTAAATCTTGTCATTTCAGGCAAAGAAGTCTCAGCATCATATTGTATTTGTTCTTGTATGATTGGGATACTGGTCAGTCAAATGAGCATTCTTTGAAAATTAAAGGCTACAAAAAAAATTGTATTATAGATTAATTTGGAAGGGTAATTTTAATTGTAGATATGGTTGCATTACTAGTGAGACTACTGACACTACTAGTATGTGAAAAGTGGTTTCCTATAAGCTTTACTTATAAACTGGCTTAACTGTGACACATTTTGCCCCCAAGTTTTTCACTTAGCTAATGTTTTTAATCATGAGCTCTGCTTTTAAATGCTAATACTTTAGGCTGTCCTTCCTTGTTGTATATTAATATTTTTATCAACCTGAACTACTGTATATATATTTTATATAAAAATGCCAGAAATGCACCAGCTACTAGCCAGCTACTACTATGTGTATATATATATATATACAAATATACATACATCTATATGTATGTATATATACAGTGTGTGTGTATACTTCCTATTTTCAAATAACAGTGATAAGGCCTTTGTTCAAAGTAGGAATGTTAATGACATTGTTATTTACAATAGTACAGCCACACAATCAACTAATAGATTTATAAGAAGGTTACTTGACTAGTATCTGTCTACACTAAGAGATCAAGTTATCCAGGGAGACAATAGTTACCTGTATGGAATCTGCCTTGTACTGACGTGGGTTCAATCCCCAGCACACCATATGGTACCCTAAGCTTCCCAAGGATTGATCCCTGAGTGCTAAACCAGGAATAATCCCTGTGCACCTGGGTTTGGCTGTGAAGTCTTTCTCCAATGGCCCTAAGTTGGTCTTTGGAACCACATAGTTAACCCTGTGGTACACTGGCTTGAATCCCCTGGATCCTAGTCTGGGCTGCACAATGTTCTTTCCTTTATGGGACTCTCACATTTGTGGAATAAAACTGTTACTTTAAAAAAAATTCTCACCTTGGGCCAGAGCAATAGTACAGTGGGTAGGGCGTTTGCCTAGCACGTGGCCAACCCAGGTTCGATCCCCGGCATCCCATATGGTTCCCCAAGCACCGGCAGCAGTTAATTCCTGAGTACAAAGCTAGGAATAACCCTGCGCATCGCTGGGTGGGATCCAAAAAGCAAAAAAAATTAAAAAATTAAAAAAATTCTTACCTTGTGACCCTGAGAAAAACTAACATACCTCAGGCTGTTTGGAAGCACAATGAAGGTAAATTAATGGGTTTGGAACTTAGTAATTCTTCCATACAAAAAATATAAAAATGAGGTATTGAAATGAACTAAGACAAATGCATTGGATGCATAGTATGCAGATGACAGAACTGTATTTTTATTTAGAGTACTGGAGAGACAACACAGAAGGTAAGGCACTTACACATGGCTGATCCATTTCAATCCCTGGTACTCTATATGTTCCCTCTGAGCCCCACCAGCAGTGATCCCTGAGGACAGAGCCAGTTGGTCCTGTGCATCAGTGAGTGACCTAAAAGCAAAAGAGTTGTGATGTGGAGAGTGTAGTACAAGGATTAAGGCACTTTCCCAGCATGCAGGACTCCTGTTTGATCTCAGGCATCACATACAGTCCACTGAGCACCATAAAGCGTGTGGGTCAAGATCCAAAACCAAACAAGATGTTATGATCAGTGGAGTAGTATGCTCATAAGAGATCATGCAGTTTTCTGGGACGTGAATGGAACTGGAGTGCACCCATTAAAAAAGACAAGTACCATTATCTCATTCACCTGTGGTATGTATGGAGAACCAAAACAAGGCAATTGACAGGATCCAGTGATCCTGGATCACAAAACTGAATAAATACCAGGTAGGGAGGTGGGGGGAATGAATGAGGAAGGTTAGAAATAACAGGTGGACACTGGCCAAGGTTCTCGGGCACGCTGGCGTTGGTGGTGAAGACAGGCTGCGGTGTACATCAAAACCATAAACGTGAACACTATTTGAAGCATGTGACCTCCCCCATAATTATAATTAAGGCATGCACACAGAGAACACGGATTTCCTGCGTCCCACGCTGGAAAGGGGCGTGGCTGGGGCGTGCGCTTTCCACAAGCGCTCCCCAAGCGCCAGTATTTGGCGCGCGCAGGCTGCAGAGCAGAGGGCCTCCGCCCCTCTCCCGCGCGAGGGAGGCCCGGGTTGCGGGCCTGCAAGCCGGCGGGGACTAACGCCCAAGTCTCGTGCGCCCTCCCGCACCGCGCGAACTGGGCGCCCGCCCCTCCGCTCGGCTCCCCGGGGGCCCGGCCGCGCCGTGCGCATGCGCGCCGCGCCTCCCGCGCCCCTGGTTACCGTTGGTGTTTGCGAATTCCCCGCTGCACCTTCTTCGCCGAAACCCGCGCCGCGCGGCCGGCCTCCCGCCCCGTGCCATAGGCGCGCGCCCGCGTCACGTGGGCCGAGGCTTCCTCGCGGGTGGAGGCGTGCGGCCACCGCTCGGCCGCCCACTGCGCCGCGAGGCGGGCGCGCGGAGTGAAAATGGCGAAGTGGGGCTAGCCGGCGCCGACCCTGACGCGATGGGGCGCGCAGGTGGGCCGGGAGGCGGCGGAGCCCCCTGACGAGGGCGGCGGGCGGTCTGCGCTACGCGGCGGTTGGACCTGGCGACCTCGCGCCGGCGGCTGAGAAGTCGGACCACGGGCTCGGGGGCTCGCCGAGGGCCCCCCCGAGAGCCGGAGGCGATGGATGAACTGAGCGTGGAGGTGAGGGCTGCCGGGCCGACACCCCCCGGCCGACTGGCAGCCGCGGGGGCGGGGGCGGGCGGGCTGCGGGGCGGCCGGCCGCGGGTCCCGGGCGTTCTCCGGCTGGCAGCGTGGCTGGCACCCGCACCCACCCACTGGGTTTTTTTTTTTTTTTTTTGCAAAGTACCGCCTGTGTAGGGCAAAACTGCAGATTCATCTGATGGACGTGCTTTTGTGAGTCGCCGCCGGTTATTTATTTATTTATTTATTTATTTTTGCGAGTTCGAAATCTCTTCCTGAATGGGAGTAATCATTCCTTTTTTTAGTGGGACCTGCAGACCCCTCTGCCCTTCCTAGGTTGAAGGGAGGATATTTTATTATTACTACTTTGGGGGCCACCACCGGTAGTACTCAGGGTTTGATCCTGGCTGGACGCTCAGGGATCATCCCTGGCAGTGTTGGGGGGCGGGGGACCATATGTGGTACAGGGGCTCGAACCCGCGGTGCAAGGCAGGAGCATTATTATTATCATTAGCATTATCCCGGTGTATTATCGCTCCACCCGGGAGCGTATATACTTAACTATTCTGTTCAATAAAACGAGCTATTTTTTATTTATCTAGATCTAAAACTGTGGTTTCAAGTGATTGGGATACTTATGTAAAGTCTTGGAACATTAAAAAAGAAAGGTTGCTTATTGTACAATAATGGCAAATTTTTAATCTTCCAAATGCAGTCACTGGTGTTAATGTTATCTCCCAGAGTCTGCATCTTCCAGCTTTTTCAGCAACAAACATCTGAGTAATTTTCTCCTTGATTTCTCATATGAGAGGTGTTACTTTTACTTGGTTTTAGGAGAGTTTCATTTTCTTGCAACCTGGTGGTGGTACTGCAAAAAATTTAAGAACAATTTGATTTTATGTTTTCTTGACACTTATTTCCTTATTGATCTGTCTGCGGTTTTGCAAAGGCAAATACTGTCCTTTTTGTTTACATATTTTTCCCAAGGCTTTTATAATATTACCACCAAAATTATCCTTCAGGGAAGAGTCTAAGGCTCAAATTAGGGGTTGATTTAAGCATCAAGAAATTTGGGTTTCTGGACTCTTTGGGTTTCCTTATGAAAGTACAAAGTATTAGGATACACTTTTTTTTTTCTTTTTGGGTCAAACCCGGCAGTGATCAGGGGTTACTCCTGGCTCTGCACTCAGGAATTACTCCTGGCAGTGCTTGGGGGACCATATGGGATGCTGGGAATTGAACCCGAGTCAGCTGCGTGTGAGGCAAACCTCCTACCTGCTGTGCTATTGCTCCAGCCCCAAGGATACACATCTTTTAAAAAAAGATTTATTTTCATTTTTTATTTATGTAATTTTGGGTGAGACCACACACAACTCTGCTGAGGTCTTACTCCTGCTTTGTACTCAGGGGTTACTCCTGGCATGGTTCAGAGGACAAGATGGGGTACCAGGTGATTCAACCAGGTTGACTTTGGGCATGGCAAATGCTCTTACCCCCTGTAAATATCATTGAAATCTCTAAGGATTACTTTTTTGTTTTGTTTTTGGGTCACCCACCGGGTGATATTTAGGAATTAGTCTTGGGTCTGCACTCAGGAATTACTCCTGGTGGTGCTCAAGGGATTGTATGGGATATCCAGGATAGAACCTGGCTGGACTCCATGCAAGGCAAGTTTTCTTAACCCTTGAACTATCTCTCTAGCCCCTAACAATTTCTTTTTATTTGTGAAAGTATTGTAAATCATTTCCTGCTTTGTAGAAATCGTAGGGGGGAAAAACATAGGTCATATAGTTCGTCCTGTCATACAGTCTGCCCTTTATCTTTCTGTTGTACATCACAAGCATATTTTAGGTATTATACGTTTAAAAACTTTCTGTGAATTTATAATCTGATTAACTGTGATAATTTAGTTAAGCATTTGTACATTGGGACTGTGCCCACATTTTTGCCATTATAAAGACTCATGAAAATGATTGTGCGTAAGTCTGCACTTTTTATTCTTTCCTTATAATGGAAGCATTGTTAAGCTTAGGTAAAAGGAAGAACTTATTTTAGGAGATGTTCTGGGGTGCCCTGGACCTTGGCTAACCAAGTCCTGTTATGGAATATAGTTAAAACAGATGTTACGAGTTTAAAATAAATGCAGTTGTCAAGTTAATTATTTTAATCATGTTTTTTACTGTCGATACAATGGCCTTTGTGTCTTTTATCATTTTCAGAGTATTGCTGAGGTTTTCCGATGTTTCATTTGTATGGAGAAATTGCGGGATGCACGGCTGTGTCCGCATTGCTCCAAGCTTTGTTGTTTCAGCTGTATCAGGGTAAGTGGTAATTCTATATATATCTAGAATATATTGTAGAAAACAACCATTTATATTTTTCTTATGTACATGTAGTGGCTTGGAGCATTAAAAAAAAAGTCTTTTAAATTAATTCTTCTTACTTTGTTTTTGGGCCACAGAGCGGTGGCTGCTCTTGCTGGTAAGGAGGGTAACTCCTGCCATGGTTGTGATTGAACGTGCACCTGCGGTTCCTGAACTCAGGGATCACAAAGCTCTGGCATGGAAAGCATGTACACTAACCCTTTGAGCTTTCTTTCCCACCTAGTGAAAGTGTTTTGGTAGTAAGACCATTGGTGGTGAATAAACATAAAATGTTAACTGCCATAAATATCTGTTAACCAGTGTCCAGTGAAAGTTTAGTGTGTTTGCCGCCTTAAAACACTGCATATTTAACAACTGCTTGTAGATAAAAAAAACATAGTATGAGACTAGTACCTAAAGACAGTAGAAATGAGAGCGAGGAGGACTCGTCCATGGTAGGAAGTTTGCCACAAGTAGTGGTTTGGGGAGGAAGGAAGGGCAGTAAGGACAGAGAAAGATCATTATGATAGATAGTTGGAAATGATCACTCTGTACAAGAACTCAGTACTGAAAGGTGGTAAAGTGATATATATGATATAACCTTTCAGTACCTTTATTGCAAACCACAAGAGAGAAAGAAAGGTGTCATAGAGGCAGGCTGGGAGGTGGTGGGAAGGCCACCTAGGGGGGACATTGGTAGTGGGAAATGTACACTGGTGATAGGATGGGTGTTGAAACATTCTGTGATTGAAACTTAATCTTGAACAACTTTGTAACTCTGTTTCTCATGGTGATTAAGTAAAAAAAGGGGGGTAAAAACACAACTGCTTCTAAAGTGAAGGGCTTTTGTGTATATATTGAAGAATGAATAGTGTCATAAAGATGCCCTAACATAATGCTGTGATGCAGGATGAGAGTTTAGACTTGATGAGGGCAAGGGATGTGGCTCAAGGGTAGGACACATGTTAAGGCTGTACCAGTCATTAAAAAATTTAAAAAAAAAAGGCTCTATCAGGGTTGGATCTCCAATATCACAAGCCCCCAGCAATTCTGGATATGGCCTCCACAGCAGTGTCAAAAATTAAACTTACTTGATGGATAATGTGCTGGAGTGATAGCACAGTGGGTAGGGCATCTGCCTTGCATGCAGCCAACATGGCTGACCCGAGTTCGATTCCTCCGCCCCTCTCGGAGAGCCCGGCAAGCTACCGAGAGTATCTCGCCCGCACGGCAGAGCCTGGCAAGCTCCCCGCGACGTATTCGATATGCCAAACACAGTAACAAGTCTCACAATGGAGACGTTACTGGGTCCACTTGAGCAATTCAATGAACAACGGGGGGACAGTGACAGTGACAGTGATGGATAATGGGGAGAAAAACAATGAGTTGCAAGCCAAGGCATAAAATCATATAGAGATTTTAAAGAGCTGGAGCAATAGTACAACAGGTAAGGAACTTGTCTTGCAACAAGTTCCAAAACCCAGGTTTGATTTTTGGCATCCCATATGGCCCTCCTAACACTATCAGGAGTGATTTCTGAGTGCTGAGGCAGGAGTAAGCCCTGAGTATCTCTGGGTATGGCCCCCAAACAATAAAACAGAAAAAGATTTTAAAGATCTAAAACAGAAGAATTTGTTTTTGTTATGGGGGAGGTGGGGCACTTCTCAGCCTACAATTAATTAAACTCAGCCCTGCCCATTTTAATCTTAGTAGATTGCTTCCTTTATAGAAAAATACTAGAGCTGTTTAATAACTTCTCACCTTAAAACTTTCTCTGTTAAGACCTTTTTCAAGAATATTATCTATAACATTTAGGTAATTTTCTTCACATCTAGCATGTGATGTAGCTGAATTTGATTTCAGAAAGTCTGGCTTAAGAGCCTTTGTTCTTTGCCACTTATACCTTGAATAGAAGACCTAGGTTATATACCATGCTAATTCTTACACTTATAAACCAAGGAATCTAGTTTTTCTTAGTGTTATTACTTATAGAATGTGGATAGCAAGATCTCTCTCACTGGGAGTTTGTGGCAATAAATGATGTATACTTAAAAGTGAGAAACCAGAAGGTATTATCAATTTATAAGTACAGTTTTCTTTTAAGATAGCAACTAATATGTGTCACTATGGCTAATAGGTAGAGAAATTAAGTTATTTATCTCCATTATTGTGGTTTTTTAAATTGGGTTTTTGTTTGTTATTTGGGGGCTACACTTGCACAAATGTGTCTTCAAGGCTTGCTGCTGACTTTGCACTAAGGGATCACTCTGGTGGAGTTTAGGGAACCATAATTGGGTGCCGGGGATTGACCTTCCATTGACTGTGTGAAAGGCATGCTCCCTCACCCATTGAACTGTATCTTAAGCCCCAATTGTGGCTAAATTGTTGCTTCTGGATCTAGACTGCAGTTTTGGGGAGGACAGGAGGGAGTCTCCAGAGCAGTGTTCAGGATGAGGTGAGAGAGCCCCTGAGATTCTTGGCACGGGCCAGCAGTGGAGGATGTACTGCTGCTTTGGGTCATCCCAGACATGCATGGGGGAGGAGGAAGCCTCCTGGACTACATCACCAGGCTTGGGGACCTCCAGGGCTGCACCCAGTGATGCTTGAGGGACCACATGGTGCCATTTCAGGTACACCCAAGGCCTGGCTCTGTGTGGTCTCCCCTGCCCTGGACACCAGTCCCCCCCCTTTGATTTAGAGCCACAGATGGCAGTGCTCAGGGGCAATTCTGCCTCAGTGCTAAGGAGTGATTGCTGACAGTGCTTGGGACTGATGCTGCAAATAACAGCTCTCAGTTAAGGCCCATTTTGATCCCTGGCACCATGTTTTTTCTTTCAAACACTGCTTAGAATGACACCAAAGCATGGAGAGAGAGGAATAGCACCTATTACTGCTGGGTGTGGCCCCAGCCACTTTCCCTCTCTATCCTCCCCAAAAGAATAAAGCGAGAATAACTGAACTTTTAACATGTGGAAAGCAGGGGTTAGAACAACAGCACAGTGGGTAGGGCGTTTGCCTTCTATGGGCCCACCTGGGTTTGATTTCCAGCATCCCATATTGCCCCCTGAGCACCACCAGGAGTAATTCCCAAATGCAGAGCCAGGAGTAACCCCTGTGCATCGCTGGGTATGACCCAAAAAGCAACAACAACAACAAAAGTGGAAAGGGTTTTTTTTTGTTTTGTTCTTGTCGTGGTGGGGAGGGGAGACTTCGATTCTCGATGGTGCTCAGGGTTTATTCCTGACAGGGTTTGGGGGACCATATTAGGTGCTGGGCATTGAACTGGAGTTGACCATGTTCAAGGCAAATTCTGTACCCTCTGTACTATCTCTATGACCCTATGAAAAGGTTTTAATACTTGAGGTATAATTCATAACACATATAAATATATATACCTCAAATTAGTTTGCTTTTATAAAAGGGAATTCAGTACTTTCTTAGACTTAATTTAGGGTTTTTTTGTGGGATGACTCAGAAGTTCTCAAGAGACTTGAGGCCTAGGAACACTGGTCCAAAGGACTGGCAGTTCAGTCCTGAGGATGCAGTGTTAGCTCAGGCCCTTCGAGGGGTTACCTGGGCAGTTGTGGTGGTGCAGGGGCCTCCAGAACTGTGACCTGGAATGCTCAGTGAACCATGTAGTGCTGGACTTAACATGCCTCAACATTTGTATTCTCTTTGGCCTCATTAATGATTATATGTATATATATTATATATATGTAGGTTATTTCATCACAACTGGCTCTAGAGCTAGGGCTTACTCCTGGCTCTACTCAGGGATCACTCTTGATCAAGCTCCGGACCTTATGAGGTGCTGAGATTGAACCTAACTCTGCTGTCTGCAGGGCAAGTGCCTTACTTGCTATAATATCCACTTTTCCACCCCTTTACCCCATTTACAATTTTATGATAGATCAGTTAGAAGTAAATTACTAGTATCATTTATTTATTTTGGATTTTGGGCCACACCCAGTGATGTTCAGGCCTTACTCCTGGCTCTCCACTCAGGAATTACTCCTGGTGGTGCTTGGAGGACCTTATGGGATGCTGGGGATCAAACCCCAGCCTACCTGCTGAACTATTCCTTTGGTCCCTACTGTCATTTTTGAGAATGGAGTGGGAGAACATTGTTAATATTTTCATGTTTTTGAAAGATTTTATACCTCTTTCCTGTGAGACTTATATAGTTGTAGGATCATTTAGAGCTCTTTAACTATTTTGGGCTAAGTTCTGTCCCTTTGAAAGTTTGTCCCGGATAATAAGTGAAAGAAAGTAGATTGCTTCTATTTCTACAAGTCTCTTTATAATTAATACAGACACCAGAGAGTTAAACTCATTAAATTTCGCACATAACTTGTACATGTACAAATTAATGTTATTTGTGCAATCACAATATATGTTTTTGCTTCTTAGCGCTGGTTGACGGAGCAAAGAGCTCAATGTCCTCATTGCCGGTAAGTGTTTTGCTGTGATACTTAATGTGTTTAGAAAAAGAGTAAGGTGGGGTCGGATGGTGACCTAGTTCATAAAGTTCTTCCTGTGACCTTCTGTATTCTCTTCCTTATCCATTCATTTTTTAAAAAATAAGCAATCTATCATGATAAAAAAATGTGAACAGTATCACTTCTGACATTGTTCATATGTGGTGCCAGGGACCGAACTTGGATTGGTCATGTGCAAGACGATCACCCTAAGTACTATACTGTCTCTCCTACCCCTCGTCTCTTATATCTTTAATAATAATGTGTGAATATGATTGCTCTATTTTGAGTAACCAATTTTTTTATTTTAAAATTTATTTACTTTTTTTGTTTTGGGGCCATACCCAGTGGATGCTCAGGGGTTATTCCTGTCTCTGCACTCAGGAATTTCCCCTGGCAGTCCTCAGGGGACCATATGGGATGCTGGGGATTGTACTGAGTTTGGCTGCATGTAAGGCAAGTGCCCTACCCACTGTACTCTCTCTTCAATCTATTTGTTTTTTTCTTAACTGATAATTTCTTATTTTTCCCCATCAGTATTTAAAGTACAGTCTGATTTATATATGCTGTGGAAGGATTCCCCCCATCTAATTAATACATCTTTTAGCTGACCAACATCCATTAGTTGAGCAACATTTGGAGTGAATTCATTTTAGAAAATAATTTCAAGTTTCTGAATTAGAGTATGTGTGTGTGTGTTTTTCTCTCCAGAGCTCCGCTCCAGCTACGAGAACTAGTAAATTGTCGTTGGGCAGAAGAAGTAACACAGCAACTTGACACTCTTCAACTTTGCAGTCTTACCAAACATGAAGAAAATGAAAAGGACAAGTATGTCCTTAGTTTCTTTGTTTCTTAAATTTTTAAAATGTTGCTATGTATTTTCTTGTCCCTGTTGAAGGTTTCCCTTTAGTCTTGTAGATGAACACGTAAGCATTTCCCCTTTCCTGTGGTCTGGGTATAGCTATTCGGTAAGACACTTCTCTCATTTGTTTTGTGCCACACCTGGCTGGACTGGAGGATTGCTCCCTGTGGTGCTGGGCGGGGAGGACCTTGTATTAGGAATTGAACCTGGGCTTCCCAGCTGCAAAGCATGCTTTACTGCTCAGCCACAACCAGTCGTGTTCAGGGTTTACCCTTGCTCTCTTCTTTGGATCACTCCTGCTGGGCTGGGGAGGACTATCTGGGGTATGAGGGATTGAACCTGGCTTGAGTACTTAACATATTCACTCTTTTGGTAAAACATCATTTGAGTCATACATGGAATCAAAGAAATGGTGGTGGTTTTTTCATGTAACTTTAATGACTGTTGTAATATATATGTATATTTTATTTTTACCCCTTGCAGTTCTCAGGGGACCATATGGGATGCCGGGGATCAAATCCAGATTGGCTGCCGGCCAAGTGAGCACCTTACCCATTGTACTGTCTCTCTGGCCCAATGCTCTTATTTTATTTTATTATTTATTTATTTTTGTGACTTTTTGGGTTACACCGGCGATGCTCAGGGGTTACTCCTGGCTCTGCACTCAGGAATTACTCCTGGCAGTGCTCAGAGGACCATATGGGATGCTGGGATTCGAACCTGGGTCAGCTGTGTGCAAGGCAAATGCTCTACCTGCTGTGCTATCGCTCCAGCTCCATTGCTCTTATTTTAATAATAAAAAATTTTCACTAGTTGAACCTATGCAGGACGGCGAGTACTTCACCCACTGTACTCTCTCTCTAGCTTTGGAAAGACACTTACAAAACTTGATTACTTTCTTTTCTTAGAATCTCTTAGAAGTAGTAGAACTGGGCCAGAGATATAGTACTGCAGGTAGAATACTTAAGCAGCCTTCCACACGACCAACCTGGGTTTGATCCCTGGTACTGCATACAGTTTTTTGAGCAGTTCACATTGCTGGCTGTGGCCTAGAAAATAAAACAAAAGGAAAATGTGAAGCTGCCACATTGTACTAAGCTATTATTTTTCTTCTTGATACCTTTTGTCCCTTCCATTGAGATTGCTAAAAGTTCAAGTAGTCCAGTTATTTAGAATTGTTTTAGTGAATTTTCTGTATTATTTAAATTTAGTGATTTTTTTAATTGTGAATAGTGAACTTCCTGACAATAGTTAATATGCTATTTCTTTAAACTTTCTTATTTTATATAGAGATTACTTACAAATCAGTACTAGGAACTATATTTAGGTTTAAAAATTTTTATTGGTTCAGCAATAAGTGGGAATTTTTTTTTTCTCCAGTTTTTGGACCACACCTAGCAATTTTTTTTTTTTTTGCTTTTTTTTTTGAGGGGGGTCATACCTGGCAATGCACAGGTATTACTCCTAGTGGTGCTCGGGGTACCATATGGAATGCTGGGAATCGAACCCGGGTCGGCTGTGTGCAAGGCAAACGCCCCACCCACTATACTATCGCTCCAGCCCCCTATACCTAGCAATATTTAGGGGTGACTCTTGGCCCTGTTTTGGGAGACTATATGGTGCGGGGGATCAAACATCCACCCGCTGCATACTGAACTTACATGGAGCCTGCTGAGCTGTCTCTCCAGCCCCAGGGAGAAGCTTTATTTAATTTAATTAATTTATTTATTTATTTGCTTTTTGGGTCACACCTGGCGATGCACAGGGGTTACTCCTGGCTCTGCACTCAGAAGTCCCTCCTGGCGGTGCTCAGGGGACCATATGGGCTGCTGGGAATCGAACCCGGGTCAGCCGCGTGCAAGGCAGATGCCCTACCCGCTGTGCTATCTCTTCCTCAGGGAGAAGCTTTAAAAAAATTTTTTTTTAATGCAGCAGCATTGCGTCTTTGTAGGGGAGAGATCCTGGAACTGATTGAAGAACGGGGGTAAAGGCCCTACTTGCAAATGTGATACTGAATTTGGTTCCAGATGAGACTGTACTGAGTGCAGTCTCAGCAGACAGGCTATTTGAGCATAATAGTCCCACTCTCTGTAATCTCTGGTGCAGTTGTATAATTTCTTGCCGTACTACAGCCAGGTTTTGGGAACACCACAAGAAGAGGGTTTGACTCCAGTGAGCTACAGAACTTAAAAAAAGAGATCTACTGTTGGTATTCTCACTGTTCTGATTTTGTAATAATTAGGGCAGGCTAAACATTTGCTAAATTAAGACTAGGCATGTGTCCCCAGACCTAGTTCTTTATCTACCTAGGTCTGATCTTAATAATGATGATGATAAACTTTTTAGAAAGCTTTTATTATGGCCGGAGCAAAAGTACAGTGAGCAGGGCATTTTCCTTGTATGTGGCTGACCTGGGTTTGACCCCTGGCATCTTCTATGGTCCTCTGAGCTCTCCAGGAGTGATCCTTGAACACAGAGCCAGGAGTAAACTCTGAAGACTGTTAAGTGTGGCCCCAAAACCTAAAAAGAAAAACAGATATACTAGCAAATATTTATTAACGTGACCTCATGATTATTAGCCCACCATAACAAGAATGTGCATGAGCACTACCACTAAACGTGGGTATCACTACATTAATAGAGGGAAGAGTAGAGGACGGAAAAATAAACTGAAGGGCCAGAGCGATAGTACAGCGGGTAGGGCGTTTGCCTTGCATGCAGCCTACCCGGGTTAAATCCCTGACATCCCCAAGCAATTCCAGGAGTAATTCCTGAGTGCAGAGCCAGGAGTAATCCCTAAGCATTGCAGGGTGTGACCCAAAAAGCAAAAAAAAGAACAAATGTTGGTCCGAGAAATTAGCTAAAGAGTTGTGCTCAGGCTTTGATGCAGAAGACTTGGGTTTGATCCCAGACTCCATATATAATCTGATTTGCCTAAAATGCTGTAGGACAGAATTTATAATCTGGTGTGGTATAGGAATGATTTTATGTTTGCAGTTATATAGAAATTGTCTGCATCTTCTATGTAATTGCAAACTATAAATGGATGAAAACAGTACTTAAAAAAGTTCTGTCATGTCTAATTCTTTAATTCACAAATACCATAGAATACATCGTGGGAGATTTTCTTGTGTGTAGTTCATCCCATAAATAAATATTTTAGTTTATAATTTTTATTTTTTTACCTGAGATGTAATCATTTAAAATTGACTGGCCTGTTTGCTCAAAGTTAAGAATTTGTTGAGAAAAATGATTTTTAATCAGTAACTTTTCTTTTCCTCTCATAATTTTTAGATGTGAAAATCACCATGAAAAACTTAGTGTATTTTGCTGGACTTGTAAGAAGTGTATCTGCCATCAGTGTGCACTATGGGGAGGAATGGTGAGCAGAACAAATTTAACATTCTTAGCAACTGGAATGCACCAGAATAGTTGATAGATTTGCAGAGAAAATAATAATTTTACTGTTTATATGATGCAAATTTTGTGTATCAGCTTAATAACAAAAGAGACTGCTTGTTCTAATATTCCAGTAGAACTTTTTCCCTTTTGTGGGAGATTTTGGTATGTGAAGTTCATCCCATCAATATATATTTTAATTTATGATTTTATTTATTTTTTGCTGTTTCAGCCATTGAACCCATAGCCTCACACATGCAAGGCAGGTGCTTTACCACTGAAGCACATGCTTGGCCCCTAATCCATAATTTTGATTGGAAACCTTTAAGACATTAATTTGCAAATATTTTGTAAGATTAAGGTCTTGTGTTTGATAAAGATCAGTTGATCTGATGTGTTCTGCTAATTTCAGTTTCTTCAAAGTGAAGCAATAATTTTAGACACTTGTGAAATAAGATGAAGATGGATATATAGCTTTTAGAATTTATAAAAGTATTTTTTTTTCCTTTTCCTAGTCTGTTTCTGTTTTTGAGTTTTATTTTGTGGTGCTGGGGCTGAAATCAGGGCCTCCTAAATGCAGGATAAATGCCCTGTCACTGAACTACATCCCTGGCCCCCTTCTCAATTTCTATTTGAAAGTAGATGTTTGCTCTTTTATTTTTAGGCAACACCTGGTGGTGCTTGGAGGCTGCTTCCAGGTGGTGCTCGGGAGGAGGACCGTGTGGTGCTGGGTGTTGAAACCAAGCCTCCAGCACGAAGAGCATTCACTCAGCCTATTAAGCTTTGTCTCTGGTCTTCAGAAGTAGATTTTTGGGGGGCTGGAGGGATAATACAGCAGGTAGAGTGCTTATCTTGCACAAGGCCAACCTGGGTTTGATCCTCGATATCTCTTGAGCCCTGTCAGTAGTAACTCCTGAGAGCAGAGCCATGAGTAACCTTTGATCACTTCTGGGTGTGGCCCAAACCTCCCTGCAAAAAAAGAAAAAAGAAACTTTCTCCTTATGACAATTTTTTTTTTTTTTTTTGGTGAGAAGAGGGTCCACACTTGGTGGGGCAATGAGGGGTCATGTGGTATAGGAACCAAATTCAGGCTTTCTGCGTGCAGTTTGCCCTGATTCATCTCTCACCTCCAAATCAAATCTTTTGTCTCAGATTATGACTGGGAGCTTTGATTAAACAAGACAATTGTAAGGCTTTTCTACTCCTTTTCCCCACTCTTTCATATTAAAAATTGAATTTAGGGTCTCACGTGTAGGAGGCATATGCTTTGCTATGGCTGAGCCACATCACTGGCCTCTAAGAATTTAACCTAATCTAGGAAGTTTTATTCCTAGGCAGTGCCCAGGGGCCACTACTGGTGTTACTTGGTTAGTCAATTAGGACAGATAAATTCTTGAACCAGAATTGCATATTACCTGGGCTTGTGGTGCTCGGGCTCTTCATGACATCATTTGATACTAGGGTATGAACATGGGTTTTGGTGTATGTCTGACTCATCAGAAAGTTGGAGGTTCTTTTGTTGAGGGGAAGAACTTTGGCCACACCCAGCTATTGCTCAGGGCTTATTCCTGGTTCTGCACCCAGTGGTCATTCCTGGTAAGCTTGGGTGACTATAAGAGGTGCCAGCCATTGAACCTGATCGACTGTGTGCATGTACCCTACATGCTATACTATCTGTCTGGCCCTGGCCCTGAATGTTTTTTGTAATAGAAATCTAAGTTTAACACTTGGGTTATAAGTTACAGTACTAAAGTGGAGGAAATTAGTTTTAGGTTGTTAGCTCCAGTTTGTTTTTTTTTGGGGGGGGGGTCACACCTGGCGATGCTCAGGGGTAACTCCTGACTCTGCACTCAGGAATTACTCCTGGTTGTGCTTGGGGGTACCATATGGGATGCTGGGAATTGGACTTGGGTTGGTCGCGTGCAAGGCAAATGCCCTACCTGCTGTGCTATCGCTCCCGCCCGCAATTTTTTGTTTTTATTTTTTTGAATTTGCAAGACTCTTTTTTTGGGCCCTTCTGTGTCTCTTTTGGTTGAGGGCATATGTGACTGCTCAGGGCTTTCTCCTGGCTCTGCTCAGGTATCATTCCATTGGGAACATACATAGTGCCAAGGACCCTAGGACCAAACCCAGGCTGACCATGATCAAGTCTTACCTGCTGTGCTGTCCTCTTGCCCGATGATTACTCTTTGTGGCACGGAAAAATGATCTCTATGCTTTTGCGAATATTGTGCCCTGGGCTTTTCCCTTAGCTACCTTTCAATCTTCCAGTTGTGCATGTTGTATTGTTTTGCTGATAAGCAAGATAGAAATCTTATAACTTGTCTTTATTTACCCGCATCCGTCTGCAAATTTATAGAATCTTGAAATCTTCAGATATAGAGATTCATGTTTCTCTCTTGTAAATGAGATTGTGTCAGTGAGGATTGTGTGTTTGTGATACGTAGTTGATTTTTGGTTTAGTGGGGAACTTGGCATGATGTTACCTATTCCACCATTTTACTGCAGTTTCAGACTTTGTGTTGTTGTGGCACATATTAGAAATAAGTTCACAGTGCTGATAAGAATGGGTATCTTTGGGACCTAATTCTGTAGGGCTAAAATAAGCTCCAAAGGATGAGTTAGCATGAAGAGGTAGAGAGTTGGGGATAGAGACTGCATTCGGGGTAAGTGGTGAAGATTTGATACTGAATAAGAAGTTTTTCTGCTTAGATTGTGTATAGAGAAATTTGGCAGCATGGAAGAAAGCTAGTACTGACTAAGAAGAGTGGCAAGTAAGATGTAGGCAGGTATTTTGGCCATTGCTTAAGATTTTGATTCTAATTAATGTTTTTAGTTTTCAATTCACTTTTAACAAGTCTCCCCCAAAGAGCCTTGCAAATTCAGCTACAGTAGCACTGTAAAAAAAAATTATCAGTTACATTTAATTGATAAATATAAACAACTGTCACTATATTTAAAATCTTGGAGAAGTTTCTACTTGGGCCAAGTGATTTTAAACATGGTTTGAACTGCTTTAACAAAAATAAGGGAGATCCCCAAATCAAATTTATTTGAAAGTATATGACAGTTTATTAGTGTCAGTACAGTATTAGCAAGTGAAAATGTTCTAAAACTTCTCTTAATACTTCAAATAGCATGGCGGACATACCTTTAAACCTTTGGCAGAAATTTATGAGCAACATGTTACTAAAGTGAATGAAGAGGTAGCTAAGCTTCGTCGCCGTCTTATGGAACTGATCAGCTTAGTTCAAGAAGTGGTAAGACTGCTACTTTTATTCATTTTTATTCACTCATTCTATAGTCTGTATTCTGTAATATATAACATTTTAATTATAATGTTTTGAATAGTATAAATCAACAGGGTGTTAAATCAAGATTTGAAAATTTGATAAACTATATTTTCCAATAGCTGAAGAATTTGTATCTGAATCCTTGAGCTATAAAGAAATATTTGCATACAAGAATTGCCTCTAATTAGAATTAAATTTCATAAGGTATACCCCCTACCCCCACTTTTTTTTTTTTTTTGCCACACTCCCATGGTGCTCAGGGTCTCTGTGCTCAGGGATTATTTCTGCCTTCCTGTGGGGGTAGGAAGGACCATATGGGCTGCCAGGGATTGAACCTGAGTCCACGTACAAGGCCCCTACCAGCTGTACTCTCTCTCTCGTGCGCTCTCTCTCTCTCTCTCTCTCTCTCTCTCTCTTTCTGACCCTATAAAACCCATTTATTACATAGTATATAACATTGATTTTTCACAGTTTTCTAGAAGTCATTAATTCATGCTTGGGATGCCTACCTTTTGGCTAAGATTCTACTAAAAATGAATGAACTGTCTATTTATTTTGAGGGATCACATCCAGTGATTGCTGAGGGCTAACTCCTGGCTCTGCACTCAGGATTCTCTCCTGGTGATACTTGGAGGACCATATGGGGTGCTGGGAATTAAACCTGGGTCAGCTGCATGCAAGACAAACATCGTACCCACTTACTCTCACTCCAACTCCCACTATTTCTCTTTTGGTGGAAAGGGCAGGTTGAAATATTCTTGGGTAACTTTTCTATTTAAAGCAACATTAGCTCATAATTTCTGTATGGCAATGCTTATTTTTATAAAAAATAGTATAGGATTGTTTTCATTTTTGGATGTCTGTCTATATGAAATTTATATGTACTCTGTAGTCTCAAAAAAGTTCACTTTGTTGGGGGGTTAGGGGGCTGGAGCGATAGTATAGCAGGTCAGGCACTTGCCTTACACACCGCTGACCCAGGTTCTATCCCTGGCATCCTGAGCACTTTCAGAAGTAATTCATAAGTGCATAGCCAGAAGTAACACCCTTGAACGGCCAGGTGTGGCTCCCCCCCCAAAAAAAAGTCACTTTTTTTTCTGCTTTTAGTTTTGGATATAAAACAAACTTTGTAAATTATTTAAAAAGTTACAATGTTTTATTTTGTTCAACTGGAGAGATAGTACAATGGGTTAGGCATTTGCCTTGTAAGTTACCCATTGAGGTTTGATCTCCAGTACTGTATATGGTTCCCCAAGCCCCAGAAGGAATGATCCTTGAGCACAAAGCCGGGAAGAAGTCCTGAGCATGGCTGGGTGTAGCTCAAAATTAATAACAAACAGTAAGGTCAGATTTACCTTTGTTTTAAGGTTCCGGAGATGTGAAGTGACTTGACTTACACTTTTTTTGGGGGGTTCACACCCCGCGATGCACAGGGGTTGCTCCCGGCTCATGCACTCAGGAATTACTCCTGGTGGTGCTCAGGGGACCATATGCAATGCTGGGAATCGAACCCGGGTCGGTTTCATGCAAGCAAACGCCCTATTGGATGTACTATCGCTCCAGCCCCATGACTTACACTTTTATTTATTTATTTATTTATTTTTGGGTCACACCTGGCAATGCACAGGTGTTATTCCTGGCTCTGCACTCAGGATTTACTCCTGGCCGTGCTCATGGAATCATATGGGCTGCTGGGAACTGAACCTGGGTTGGCCGTGTGCAAGGCAAATGCCCTCCCCGCTGTGCTTTTGCTCCAGCCCAACTTACACTTTTAATTAGTGATTTCTTATAAAATATTTAATGTATCTTCTATATATGTTACAGAAAAGTTTGTGCTACAGCTTTCTGTTAAACTATTAGATATTTATTATGCTTGATTTGTTTTATTTGTAATTACATGTTACACCCAGTGGTGTTCAGGGCTTAGGCTCAGAGATTACTCCTGGCAATGCTCAAGGGACCATAAACAGTGCTCTGGATTGAAATCTGGTTGGTCTTATGAAATGCAAGTGCCTTCACCCATGCATTATCTCTCTGGCTCCTGGCTTCAGTTTTTAAAGTATTTATCAGTTAGGTCTAGAAAGATAGTACAGTGGCTAGGGCATGTGGACGACCTAGGTTAAATCCCCGGCAGATCATATGTTCCCCAGAGCCCCATCAGAAGTGATCCCTGAGCACAGAGCCAGAAGTGTAAGACCTGAGCACAGTTGGATGTTGCCCAAAAATCAAAAAAAGAATTTATCTGTTAGCGTCAGGATAGTTGTAGTAATTGAGTCAAGATTTAATTTGCTTGTATTATTAAAATTGTTCAATCAAAATTTATTTGGTCTTTGTTGTAACAGGAAAGAAATGTAGAAGCTGTAAGAAATGCAAAGGATGAGCGTGTTCGAGAAATTAGGAATGCGGTGGAGATGATGATTGCTAGATTGGATACGCAGCTGAAAAATAAGCTTATAACACTGATGGGTGAGTGTCTTGCTGCTGGGGTTCATTGGGCTTTGAGTTTCATTTTTGAAGAGTAATGATTGATATGGCCATAAATACTTGGAAAGAATCTTGAAATTTTAAGCAATTCCATTGTTATAATCTGGAAGATAGATGTCTGATTGTATTTAGAAGTGATAAAAGAGATTGCCAACAGACCTCTTTGTTAGGTAACTTTATTTTCCCTACTGAGAATTTCTACTTTTATTACTCTTCCTTGCACTTTGTATTTACTAAAGATGGAGAACTGATTTTTCTAATAAAGAGTTTTTCTAGATTTATCTCTCTTTATCTGTTGTTACTATTTTTTTTTTTTAATTCTGGGGATTGAACCCAGGGTTTTACACATGCAAGGCAAGTGTACTACTGCTGAGCTACACCCTGGCCACCTCCCCGCCCTCCCTTTTTATTTTTTAACTTTTGTTGTCACTTGTCATTTGTTGTTCATTGATTTGCTCAAGAGGGCGACAGTAACATCAATATTTGTCCCTGTTGCATGATAGTGTAGCCCAATGGCCTACTGGGGGGGCTCTTACAGGGTCAGGGGAATGAGACCTGTTATTGTTACTGTTTTTGGCAAATCGAATACGTTATGGTTAGCCTGCCAGGCTCCACTGTACTTAACTTTTATTGTTTTTTAAAATTGAATCACCGTGCAATAGACCATCACAAAGCTGTGCATGATTGGGTTTCAGCCATACAATATTCCAACACCTATCCCTCCACCAGTATGCATTTCCTACCACCAATGTCCCCAGTTTCCCTCCCACTAACTCACTCCCTCCCCCCGCCTCCCCTTTTCTTTTATGTGCATTATAGTTTGCAATACAGGTACTAAGAGGTCATCATGTTTGTTCAGGGCATTCAATATTTTATCAGGATGGTACAGCAGGAGCTGTGTTTTATTTAGCTGGGTGGCAGCTTTGGGGTGTGGATGTGAGTGCTGGGACTTCTGGAAGTACAGGGAGGTGGGGGAGGTAGCCCATCCTTATCCAGAGAAAGCCTGGAGATTTAAGTCACAAAACCTGTATACCTGAATTTTCAGCAGATTAATATCTCAGGTCTGTCCCAAGATGGTGAAGTCTGGCTGTGGCCATGACTGTGATTTTGTCGCCATTGTGGGAACAAGCAGCTGCTGGAGACTCTTGTTTGGGTAGGTGTGTAATCTCCAGATGACTAGGAAGCCCTGCGGTTCTCTCTCGCTGCCTCTGTTTGGTGGTCTTGGGCTGCTCTGCCACCCGGGACGGCCGATGCCATGGGCGGATGAAGGAGGAAATGAGGGCCAGGCTGGTTGGTGATCAGTTGCCGTTTCTTCCATTCTCCCCACACGCCTGTTCCAGTCTCAGTCTCATTAAGCTCCCCATTCTAATCTCATACTGCCCCTCATTCCTGTCTCCTCCTGTCTCTCCTCATCTTTCCGTGCTCCCACTCGCAGCCTCAGTCTCTCTCTAGTCTCTCACCAACTCCCCCACATTGGGGGTAGCCACCACACTCGCAGTCAGATAGCACAATCAACATATGAAAGGCCTTCTTCCGCTCTAGGGCAAAATACCACTTGGGGTGTTTCTCCTCAGTCCAATAACTTAATTAACATCTTAATTCTATTTCTTAATATTATTTTGTATGGACATAGTAAGAGATACATTAAGCTTGTAGGGTGGCTCTCCTGGGGACATCTCGCTACAGATCTCAGACTACAGTGCTCAGGCCGGATTAATCTTTCCTAACCCTGGCAGGGTCCTATCTAGTTGTTACATTTTGGATCATGACAGAATTTGTCCATGACCATGCTCTTAACTTATAGTTAAATATTATGACCCGTTGGCCTGGCCTATTTTGATGCCAGGGTAGCTCACAGCTTGCCCTGGGTCCATCCTGTCCCTTGTTGGGGCCCTGCTTTTGGGGTGCAAAGAAGTAAGGCCAACTGAGGCTTAAGTCAAGAGAATAGATGCCCAGGGGTAAATATCATTTGGAGTCAGTTAACTCCTGAGTTACAAAAGCATAGTATTAACTGTCTTCCTGTGTCTATGCAAAAAGGACATTGCTCAGAATTAACTATGTAAAGGACATACGGAGAAGAGAAGAGCAATATTTACAAGTTAACAGAGTCTGATTAGGAGATAAAGGTGATTGATGGGTTGGGAAAGCAGAGCACAAAGAAAGAGGTTACAAATAAACACAGAGGAATGGGAGCACTGTGGTGGGAGTAACCCAATAAACCTAAGCTTCTTGTGGCAAGGCAGAAAGGACAAACCAATGTTACTCTTCAGGTGGGCACCAAGGTATCTCGCCCCCTTTTGATCTGCCCTGATCTGTTCAGTTTTGTGCATGTCTGTGATTAACTGCGGTCTTTGGTCTCTTGAGATTTCTTTATGAGTCTCTGAAGCAAGGCTGTAGAAGAGCTTACAAGAGCGCTGGAGGGGCTAGAGCAATAGTACAGCGGGTAGGGCATTTGCCTTGCAAGCAGCTGACCTGGGTTCAATCCCTAGCATCCCATATAGTCCCCCAAGCACCGCCAGGAATATTTTAATTCCTGCGCGTAGAACCAGGAGTAACTAACCCCAGAGCTTTGCTGGGTGTGGCCCAAAAAGAAAAAAAAGGTGCTGGAGTTTGTGAGGGTGACTGTCAGTGCTACTAGAAGTATAGTGAGTTGGGAGGAGGTAGTCCGTCTCAACTCCAGGAAAGCCTGGAGGGGCTGGAGCAATAATAGCACAGCGGGTAGGCAGTTTGCCTTGCATGCGGTCGACCCGGGTTTGATTCCCAGCATCCCATTTGGTCCCCTGAGCACCGCCAGGAGTAATTCCTGAGTGCAGAGCCGGGAGTAACCCCTGTACATCGCTGACCACCCCCCCCCGCCCCGCCAAAAAGAGCCTGGAGATTTTAGTCACAAAATACCCCAATTTCCAGCAGTTTATTGTCTTGGTGTGGTCTGTCCTGAGACAGTAGAGTCCATTCCAGGGGCATGATGGTTATTTTGGACTGTGGGAGCAAGCGCTGCCAGGGCTCTGTTTGGGCGGGTACTAGGTTGATACCCTCCTTTCCTTCCCCCCTCCCCAGTCTTCCCCTCCTGTCTACCCTGATCTTGATCTCTTTTGAGATTTATTTATGAGTTTCTGAAGCAAGGCTGATATATGAGCTTCTATTGCTGAGCTGGAGGTATTTTGTGGGGGTGGCTCCCACATACTTAATTTTTGGCAGTGTAATTTTTTGGGAAACTAGGTCCTGAGTTGTTGAAGTTTGACCAGAGGTACAGTGGCGATTTTAGGCTATCAGGAAGCCTGAGGCCACCATCAGGCTGCTGATGCATTTGCCCTGCTGGCCCAGGTTGACCTGCTGGTGATGCTGTGCCCCCTGGGCCATAGTGGTGATGGCAGCAACAGCCCGAGCAGGGACCAGGACTGAGGCCAGGGCTACTGCCGTTCATGAGTTGGGCACTCTGGGCAGGCTGCAGTCACCAGTCCAGCAGAGCCTGACCAGGGGGTACACTTCCCCATCCTGGGTCTCCAGACAATTGGTTCTCAGGGAGGTTTTTCTCCCAGATATGCTGCAGGTGATGCAGACTGGTCCAGGAAAGAAATGGCAGCAGGGTCGTCACAATGGTGGCTTATCACTGGGGATCCATGGTGGGAACTCGGGGCTCCCCCTCAAGCCCGGGTCCTGTGCTCCTCAGTGGTGTCGAGTTGAAGCCAAAGAATTCTATTCATGGGCTGGAGAAACACCACAGCGGGTAGGGCGTTTGTCTTGCACGCGGCTGACCCGGGTTCGATTCCCAGCATCCCATAGGTCCCCTGAGCACCACCAGGAGTAACTCCTGAGTGCAGAGCCAGGAGTAACCCCTGTGCATCTCCAGGTGTGACCCAGAAAGCAAAAAAAAAAAAAGCAAAAAAAAAAAAGTCCTATTCATACACGTTAAAACTCTGCTGACAGCCACAGCACTGAGAGCTGCTGTAGCTCTGCCTGCTGGTGACTGCACCACTGCTATCCTCAGAGTTTCACTTGGGCTGGTGTTCTGTGGCGGGCGAGTGGCCAGGTTTTTTTTTTTTTTTTTTTTTTATTTTCATAAGGTTGTAATTAATTGATTACATTCAGTATTTCAGCACTAATCCCACCACCATTACACCTTCCCCCACCATTATTTCAAATTTTCCCACCACCATTCAAGCCAGCCTGCCGGGGCAGATGCTAGATAATTTATTTTCTAGTGCTTATTATGAATATCACGAGAGATCGCGTGCAGCTGCTTGCTTTTGGAATTCTGAAAGTGTAAATGGTTGAGGTCCAGAGACATCTCTGTAGGGAGCTAATCCATTTTGATATTCATTTGGGAGTCTCTGGATCAAGGCTGTTGATGCTCTGAGATGGCACCTGGAGGCAGACGGTGGGCTTGATAGCGAGTGGGGAGACGGGAGGGGCCGCCTGTCTCTGCTGCCACCATGTGGCCTGGTATCTTAGTCCTTGAACCCACATACCTGGGTTTTGCTTCTGGAAGCTCGTTGGCCAGGTTTAATGGTGCTCTCCGGCAGACAGAATATCCAAGGGACACCGTCGTTCACTCAAGCAGAAATTTTATGACCTTACTGGCTATTCAGAGTGCTGAGAGCTGCATTCCCTCCCCTAGCTCTGGCATTTGCTGCTGTGCCGCCACCATCTTCTAATCTTTCTCTCCCTTTTTAATTTTTTTTTTGACTTTTGGGATCATACTTAGCAGTGCTCAGTGACTACATCTGGCGGTGCTCGGAGGACCATATCAGATGCCAGGGATTAAACCCAGGTCGGCTGTGTGTGAGGCAGATGCTCTCCCCACTGTACTATCACTTTCGGCCCCTTTTTATTTTTAAAAGAAAACTTTTTTTTTTTTTAAGTAAAATTGAAATCTGTTATACTAAGGGAAGAGTACTAATTAATTCTAAGGAGAATGTGAGTTTTTCTAGAGAGAGACAGAGACAGTGTACAGAGAAGAAAGGTCCAATAGAGAAAAGAAAATTTTTTTTTTTAAAAAACTAGCATAGATGGGGCTAGGGGATTATATGGTTCTGTGGATTTAAGTCTTCTTCATGCAAGGCATCTGCTCACCATATTGATACGTCCCTCTGTCACTCTTATTTTCATGGTGAATTTCTCCCCCTTCCCCTTTTTTGGTAGTAATTACAATGTTGTCATTGCTTTTTAAAAATGCATCCTCTCCTATTTAATATTTTAAAATAGGTCAGAAGACATCTCTAACACAAGAAACAGAACTCTTGGAATCGTTACTTCAGGAGGTAGAGCACCAGGTAATGAAATACTTAGATACAATTTTTATTGTTTTGCCCATATGTTTTATTTGAACTTTTTCCCCCCCCTTTGTTTTTTTTTTTTTTGGGGGGGGGCCACATTGGTGTTGCTCAGGGTTTACTCCTGACTCTGTGTTTCAAAGTGATCCATAGCAGTGCTCAGGCAAGTCAAGAACTTTAACCCCTGTACTATCTCTCCAGGCTCTGAAAGTTTGAACTGAGTTAATCTATATAAAATTAAAAGGTATTGGAGTTTCTGTATTATACTGGAGACTTTCATGCACTTTGAATCAGCTAGTTCTTCTCAAAGAATTAGATAAAATAGCACATTTTTTTAGAGTAGGATTTTACTATGGGTTCATGGGACTCTGGAGAGGATTAAAACTTCTGACATTGTGATTAATTTAAATTTTTAAATTTAATTTTGAGGAGCCTCTGGAGCTGTGTTCAAGGACCCTACAGTGCAAACACTGGCGATTCTTTTTTGTTTTGGGGTCGCAGTGCTAGTGCTCAGGGGTTACTACTGGCTTTGCACTCAGGATTTACTGCTGGGATGCTCAGGGAACCATTTGGGATGCTGGGGATTATACTTGGGTCGGCTGTGTGCAAGGCAACTCCTCTACCTGCTCTACTGTCGCTCTAGCCCCTATGAATGTATTAAGTCTTAGCAATTGACTATGACATAGTTTATATCGGACTTTTATTAGTGGTGGAAATTTTGCACTGCCAGGAGTAGTTCCTGAGTTGCAGAGCCAGGAATAATCCCTGAGTATCGCTGGATATGACCCCCCGCCCCAAAAAAAAGAAAGGAAAAAAAAGCCATTTAAAAACCTCCTATGTGAGGGTCAAAGAGATAGTACAGAAGGTAAGACACTTGTCTTGAATATAGCCAACCCCAATTTGATCCCAGCATTGCATATGGTCAGTCCCCTGAGCATTGCCAGGGGTCAGTCTTGATCCTCGAGCCAGGATAACCACTGAGTACTTCTGGGATTTTCCCCTTCCCCTCAAATAATAAAAAATTCTCAAAAAAAAAAATCCTATTTTCTTTTATCCCTTTCACTGTATAACTGGAATAATTTCTGTTTTCCTTTATTAAGGTTTATGACGTGTCAATAAGTAACAATTTTGTTCATAATTTTTTTCTTTGTTACAGTTGCGGTCTTGTAGTAAGAGTGAATTGATTTCTAAAAGCTCAGAGATCCTCATGATGTTTCAGCAAGTTCACCGAAAACCCATGGCATCATTTGTTACTACTCCTGTTCCACCAGACTTTACAAGGTATGGCAGACTTTCAGTTCAATTTTTCTTTAAAGTTTGCATGGAAATGCATCTATTTCTTTCTTTTTTTTTTTCTTTTTTTTTGCTTTTTTGGGTCACACCTGGCGATGCTCAGGGGTTGTTCCTGGCTCTGCACTGCACTTAGGAATTACTCCTGGCGGTGCTCGGGGGACCATATGGGATGCCGGAAATTGAACCCAGGTCAGCCATGTACAAGGCAAACGCCCTACCTGCTGTGCTATTGCTCCGGCCCACGGAAATGCATCTATTTCAAAGAAGTAATTCTTATCATCCTAAATTTGTGGGGGTTTTGGTGCTTGGGACTACTCACAGTTCTCTGCTCAGGTGTCACTCTTGGTATTGCTCAAGCAGTGCAGGGGATTGAGTGAGGGTTGACCATGGATAAGGTAGGTGCTTTTTTCCCCCTCTGTACTATCTCTGACCCTTTTTCATCTTATTTTGAATATTGTCTTTATGATGGTATCACCTGGTAAAATTAATTAATTTTGGGTATAGGGCCAAAACTGGTGCTCAGGGCTTATGCCTACCTCTGTGATCAGGAATCACAACTGCAGTGCTTATGGGACCTTATGCAGTGCCTACAATTAAGCCAGGTGACAGTGTGCAAACAAGTACCTTTAAACCCTGTACTATCTCTCTAGACACTTAAGGATTAATGATTGTCAGGCGATATGGTAGGAGTGACATGGGTAATTTGGATAGTAAATACCATTTCAGGGAAAATTACAGCTATTTGCTATAAAAAGGTGTGAACTACTTAACTGTGCAACTGTGCCATAAAGAATAATCCATTGTAAAATTTACTGTACACTGTTTTCACATGGCAAACTACTAATTTCTTTTAGGCACTGTTAGTGCCAGCATGTCTGGTCAGGACCACAGCCATTAGGTCCTTATCCTGTGTCCAGATTCATTTAACCCACACAGCAAAGAATTCAAGCACAAGTTGGAGAAATGAATAATAGAAAGTATTTGTTAGGAAATGCTGAAAGTAATTTATTAAGGAGTACTAAAAGTAATACTAAGTCTTTTAAAACTTGTGATTTTAAGAACCTCAGTGCCAGCATGCTCCAGGGGCAGTAGTACCATTTTTACACTAATTTCTAGTTTATGTAATGAGAGGAACAGGGCAGATTAATTAGAAGTGAAATGCTAATGGCATTTCAGAGGAAAGGTAGGACTCTGGGGTGGAGAATTTCTGGAGCCCCCTCCCTGCCACCCCTAGTTTCTTTTTTTGTTTTTGTTTTTGGGCCACACAGCAATTCTTAGGAGTGCTTAAGGAACCGTATGGGATGCTTGGGATGGAAACTGAGTCAGCTTCTTGCAAGGAATACTCCTTGCCTGCTATACTATCTCTGGCCCATCACCCAGATTCTGACTATGCTTAATTGCTTCTAGGGATTCTCCTGGCAGTTGTAAACTGTCAAATGTTGGTGAGAGTGGTGTTTATTATGCAAATATATTGTAATCAGCCAGGGATTGTCTTTCAGTTGCTTGGGTCTTTTCTTCTGAATTCTGGCTCCAACCATGTCTTATTTTCAATTGTTCTCACCTATTTCACTTTATTTTTGTGGGACCATACCAGGTGGTCCTTAGGGTTTATTTCTGGGTCTGTGTTTAGGGATCACTCCTGATGGGCTGCCGGGACCATAATGGGGCTATGGTGACTGAACCTGGGTCAGATACATGCAAGGCAAGTGCCTTATCTCACAGTGCTCTCTCTGGGCCCCCATTGTTCTCATCTCCTAAGGTACTTAACATTAGCTCTTGATAAAATATCACTTGGTTCATACACAGAATGGGTGTAATTTCAAGGAACTGGTGGTTTTTTCATGATAACTTTACCAAATGTAACTTTATATGACTGTGTATTACATTTACATTGGTCATTTTCCTATCTTACTGTCACAGTGTGACAGTGCTCTTGTTTATTTTACTTTTTGGGTCACACCCAGCGATGCTCAGGGGTTACTCCTGGCTCTGTGCTGAGGAATTACTCCTGGTGGTGCTGGACTATCATATGGAATACTGGAGTCAAACCCAGGTTATACAAGGCTAATTCTGTATCTGTTGTACTATTTCTCCGGCCCCAATGCTCTTATTTTTTTTATTATTTTGTTTATTTATTTTTGCTTTTTGGGTCACACCCGGCGATGCACAGGGGTTACTCCTGGCTCTGTGCCCGGGAATTTCTCCTGGTGGTGCTTGGGGGACCATAAGGGATGCTGGGAATTGAACCCAGGTTGGCCACGTGCATGATAAATGCCCTACCCGCTGTGCTGTCGCTCCAGCCCCCTTTTTTTGTTTGTTTGGATTATTTTGTTATAATTTTTTAATAAATCATTGTGAGGTATAGTTACAAACTTTTGTGCTTACATTTCAGTCATACATTGATCGAGTACCCATCCCTCCATCACCAGTGTTCCCGGTATCCCTCCCCCCACACACACCCGCCTCTGTGGCAGGCGCATTCCCTTTTACTCTCTCTCTCCCTTTGGGTGTTCTGGTTTGCAATACAAGCCTTAAGTGGTCATCATGTTTGGTGTATAGTCTACCTTCAGCACACATCTCCCATCCCAAGCAGCCCTCCAGGCATCCTTTACTTGGTAGTTCCTTCTTTGTTTGAACTGCCTTTTCTTTTTTTAAGCAAACATTTTATTTTATTATTTTTTTTTTATGTAGGAGTACTGCTATTTATTCAGCCACTGATTAGCTGATTGAATTGGGCCTGAACTCCACCTTACTTTTTAAAAATTTTTTTTAATATATTAATTTATTGAATCACTGTGGGAAAAGTTACAAAGGTTTCAGGTTTAAGTCTCGGTGATGCAATCATCAAGCACATTTCCCTTCACCAGTACTTATTTTTCACCAAGAAGAACCCTAATATACTGCCCTCCCAACCCTCCCAATGCCTGTGAGGCAGATGAATTCTATTTAACACTCTATCTACTTTGATTAGATTCATTGTTTCAACAAAAGATGCACTATTATTATGTAGAGTTTACACCCCCAAATCAGACCTGTGGAAAAGACATTCTGAAATGATTTGTTTCTATAGCTGGTTACAAGAATCAAATGATGACGCTATTGCGGCCGAGGGATTTTGGATTTCTGATATTTTACTTATTAAGCCTGGAAGTATTTCTGCCGAGAGTCAGATAATTATGAGACTGGTTTCTGTGCTTTAGAGCCATGGCTGTGCCGAAGAGCCGCTTGTCGGGGGCAACTTGTGACCTCGATAGGGCGTGAAGGACAAGCCTGGAACGCCCCCCTTCCCATCAGGTTTCAGTCGCCCCCGTCATGACCAGCTCATACCTGGCTTTCCAAAAAGCTCCGAGGCGGCTGCCATCTTGCTGTCCAGAGGGAAAAAGGCAGAAGGGAGCACATCCTTTTCCCTCTGGGCAGGCATGGTGGTGTGGATTAACGCATAGTCCATTCACTTTCCTGCCGCAAGCTGCCGGGTTCTGCATTAAGTCCTTGTGCTTCTGGAGCCATGGTTGTGCTGGAGAGCCGCTTGTGGGGGGCAACTCGTGACCTCGGTAGGGCGTGAAGGACCTTTTTATTTTTTTCATTTTTTAAAATTTTATTTATTGAATCACCGTGAGAGCAGTTACAAAGCTTTCAGGTTTAAGTATCAGTCATACAATAAAACACCCATACCTTCACCAGTGCCCGTTCTCCACCCCCAAAAACCCCAGTATACCCCCATTTCACACCCTCCCCCTACCTGTGGGGTAGGCAGATGATTTCCACATTACTCTTTCTCTACTCTGATTACATTTAATATTTTGACATCAGACCCACCATTGTTATTTGGGATTTTACCACAACACTCAGATCTGCAGAAAAGGCAACAGTAGACAATTTGTTTTCTGTTGCTGGTTATGAATAACATATGATGTTGTGTGACTGCAGTAGTTGCTGTGCAATTTTGAAATTCCAAAATTTTAACAATTAAATCTGGAGGGATTTCCACCAAAACCTGCTGGGTTCCGAGATTTGTTCCTGAGTCTTAGATCATGGCTGTCAAGCAGCTTGATCAGGAGCCAGAAAGGCCGTTCATGGACGGCGACTCAGGGTCTCATTGGGATGGGGAGGAAAAGGGCGGCTCCACCCCATCCCGTGAGGCCCCATGTGTCTCATCACTGAGGGCCCAAACCTGACTGTCCAGTGGCCTCTGGAGGATGACAGCCACCGAGCCACCTAGGGGGAGCAGGTAGAGGGACTACACCCTTTCCCCCTGGGGTGGCCCCGCGACAGTAACCTACTGCAGGGTCCAGATGCATTTCTGCCAAAAGCTGCTGGGTTTCAAGATTTGTTTCTGAGTCTCTAGGATCATGGCTGTTAAGCAGCTTGATTAGAAGCCAGAGAGGCCGTTCCTGGACGATGACTCGGGGTCTTGTTGGGAAGGGGAGGAAAGGGCTGGCTCCACCCCCATCCCGCAAGGCCCCACATGTCTCGTCACTGCGGGCCCAAACCTGACTGTCCAGTGGCCTCTGGAGGATGGCGACCACCACGCCACCAGGGGGAACAGGCCAAGGCACAAAACCTATTCCCACCTGGGGTGGCCAGGCGCCAACAACCTACTGCAGGGACTGGATGCATTTCTGCCAAAAGCCACTGGGTTTTGCGATTTGTTTCTGAGTCTCTGATCATGTGAACTGCCTTTTCCTCCCGGCACTTGAAGCCTGTTTCCAAGTTGTAGAGCAATCCTACTGGTCCTTATCTCTACTGTCCTTGGGTGTTAGTCTCCCATTCTGTAACTTTATATTCCACAAATAAGTGCAGTCCTTCTATATCTGTCTCCCTCTCTCTGACTTATTTCAGTTAGCATGATACTCTCCATGTTGATCCACTTATATGCAAATTTTATGACTTCATCTTTTCTAACAGCTGCATAGTATTCCATTGTGTAGATGTACCAAAGTTTCTTTAACCAGTCATCTCTTTTTGGGCACTTGGGTTTTTTCCAGATTCTGGCTATTGTAAACAGCGCTGCAATGAACATAAAAGTGCAGATATCATTTCTACTATACTTTTTTGCATCTCCAGGGTATATTCCCAGAAGTGGTATTGCTGGGTCAAATGGAAGCTCAATTTCTAATTTTTTGAGAAACTTCCATACTGTTCTCCAAAAGGGCTGAACCAGTCGGCATTTCCACCAGTAGTGAAGGAGAGTCCCTTTCTCACCACATCCACACCAACACCAGTTGCTTTTGCCAGTCTTTGTGGTGTGAGATGATATCTCATTGTTGTTCTGATCTGAATCTCCCTGATGTTTAGTGATGAAGAGCATTTTTGCATGTACCTTTTGGCTATTCGAATTTCTTTTTGAGAAAGTTTCTGTTCATTTCATTGTGCCATTTTCTGATGGGATTGGGTGTTTTCTTCTTGTAGAGTTCAACCAGTGCCTTGTATAACAGCCCCTTATCAGATGGGTATTGGATAAATCAGATGGGTATTGGATAAATATCCTTTCCCATTCTGTAGACTGTCTTTGTATTCTGGTCACTGTTTCTTTTGAATTACAGAAGCTTCTTAGTTTAAGATAGCCCATTTGTTTACCCGTTTCCACTTGCTTGGTCAGTGGCGTGTTGTCTTTGAAGATACCTTTAGCTTCAATGTTGAGGAGGGTTTTGCTGACCTTGTCTTTAGTGTACCTTATGGATTCTGGTCTGATGTTGAGGTATTTAATCCATTTTGATCTGACTTTTGTGCATGGTGTTAGGGATTGTTCTGAGCCCATTTTTTTTGCATGTAGCTGTTCAGTTTTGCGAACACCATTTGTTAAAGAGGCTTTTCCTTGCTTCACTGCACATTTCTTGCTTCCGTATCAAAGATTAGATGATCATATATTTGAGGGTGTGTGTAAGGATATTCCACCCTGTACCATTGGTCTGCGGCTCTGCCTTTGTTCCAGTGCCATGCTGTTTCAGTTATTACTGCTTTGTAGTAGACTTTGAAGTTTGGGAAGGTGATGCCTCCCCTCTTCTTTTTCTCAAAATTGCTTTAGCTATTTGTGGGTGTTTGTTGTTACATATGAATTTTAGGAGCATTTCATGCATTTCTTTGAAGAATTTCATGGGTATTATAGGGATTTGTATAGTGCTTTGGGGAATATTGCCATTTTGACAATGTTAATTCTCCCAGTCCATGAGCAGATGTTTTTCCATTTCCTCGTGTCCTCTTTTATTTCATGAAGTAGCGTTTTGTAGTTTTCTTTGTACAGGTCCTTTGTACAAAGACTCCTTAGTTAATCTGATTCTGAGGTATTTGATTTTTTGCTGCATGATTGTGAATGGGGTTGCTTTTTTCATGTCACTTTCTTCTCTTTCATTATTTGCATATAGGAAAGCCATGGGGTTTTGGGTATTAGTTTTATAGCCTGTAACTTTTTTAGCCTGCAAGTCTGTTGTTTTTAGGAACTTCTTGGTAAAAGTTTTGCAGTTCTCTAAATATGGTATCATATCATCTGCACTAATTTTTGGAGCATAAAAAAACATAACATGAGGCTTACACTTAAGGATAGTAGATACACGGGACAGATAGATTGCTCCACAGGTTGAAGCCTGCCTCATGAGTAAAGGGGAGAAGGCAGCCGGAATAGAGAAGGCATCACTAAGAAAAAGATGGCTGGAGGAATCGGTCGGGATGGGAGATGTGTGCAGAAGGTAGATAAAGGACCAAACATGATAACCTCTCAGGGTCTGTATTGCAAATCATAATGCCCAAAAGTAGAGCGAGATTATGGGTATTCATGTCTGCCATGGAGGCAGGGGGAGGGTGAGAAAGGGGGGATGTACCGGCGATATTGGTGGTGGGGAATGTGCACTGGTGGAGGGATGGGTGCTTGATCATTGTATAATTGTAACCCAAACATGAAAGCTTGTAACTATCTCACAGTGACTCAATAAAATAAAAAAAATATGTGTGTATATATATATATATATATATAGAGAGAGAGAGAGAGAGAGAGAGAGAAAGTATCATATCATCTGCAAATAGTGAGAGCTTGATTTCTTTCTTTCCTATCTGGAACCCTTGATATCATTTTCTTGCCTAACTGCCATTGCAGGTACTTCCAGTACTATATTGAACAGAAGTGGTAAGAGTGTTCATCCTTGTCTTGTCCCTGATCTTAGAGGGAACGCTCTTAGTTTCTCCCCATTGAGAATAATGCTTCCCTTATCTTGTGGTAGATGGCTTTGACTAAATTGAGGAAAGTTCCTTCAGTACCCATTTTGGTGAGAGTTTTCATCATAAACGGTCATGAATGGGTGCTGGATCTTGTCAAATGCTTTTTCTGCATCTTTTGATTTGATCATACGGTTTTTTATCTCTTCTTATATTGATATGATGGATTATGTTGATTGATTTCCAAATGTTAAACCATCCTTGCCAGTGCTCTTATTTTAATAAAACAAATTTTCTGAGTTGAACTTTAGAAATTTTTGCAGGTTGAACTTTTTGATAAATTAAAATTTTTGCTTGAAATGGAATGGAAAGCTTTCCAAATCTTGTTCTGGGGACCCTGGGAATAACTCCTGGTTACACTCTGACCTGTTAGACTATACTCTTCATGTTCCTATTTATATTTGTTTTCTTTTTTTTTTTTTTTAACTTTTTTAACATTTTATTTTCATAAAGTTGTTCACAATAATTGATTACATTCAGTATTTCAACACCAATCCCACCACCATTACACCTTTCCAACACCATTATTTTGAAATTTTCCACCACCATTCAAGCCTGCCCCACAGTTAGATAATTTATTTTGTATTGCTTTGTTATGAATAGTATGAGATGTGTATAAGGGTCTGTCTCACAGCGATTCAACAAAAAAGTAAGAAAAAAAAAGTATGAGATGTCGTGTGGCAGCAGAAGCATCCAATGCTTCTGGAATTCTAAAATTTTAAGTAATTGGGATCAGGAGACACATCTATGGAGTGAGCTGCTAAGTTCTGAGATTCATTTGTGAGTTTCTGGATCATGGCCATTAAGGTGCTTAAGTGGCACTCGGAGGCAGTTTGTGGGTGTGACAGCCAGGATCCTGGAGGGGTGGAGCTGGGAAGGGGCGGCCCAGTCACAGCTTTTGAAGCCTGGCGTTTTCAGTCACTGGTCCTGCATACTTGGGTTTTTCAGAGGATTTATTCTCTTGCATGGGGTCCCAGGATGAGCCTGTGAAAATAGACCCTGAGGGTGGCAGCGATTGAGTTCTGGAGGTTTGCTGCTGTTGGAGTTCTTTCGGGGCAGGGGAAGAAAGGATGCCTGCTACCGTCTGAGGCGCCCCAGTAAAATCAGCCTGGCACAAGGTCCAGAAACATCTCTTCCGGGAGCTTTGAGATTTGTTTGTGAGTCTATGGATCATGGCAGTTAATGCACTTTCTGTTTTGTTTTTCAGATAACAGCCCTAAGTTCTATTTTATCTTTTTTTCCCCCTTTTTCTATGTTATATATCAAACCCCACTCTTGCACTGAGCCACATCCTTGGTCCATAAACACAATTTAACTCATTTTTCTATTGCCGTGTAAGAAACATTTTTGTACATATTTTAGTACTTAATCATGGTCTGGAGCGATAGCACAGCGGTAGGGCATTTGCCTTGTGTGCAGCTGGCCTGGCCTAGCCGGGTTCGATTCCTCCACCCCTCTCGGAGAGCCCGCCAAGCTACCAAGAGTATCTCGCCTGCACGGCAAAGCCTAGAAAGCTCCCTGTGATGTATTCGATATACCAAACACAGTAACAACAAGTCTCACAAAAGAGACGTTACTGGGCCCGCTCGAGCAGCTTGATGAACAACGGGAGGACAGTGCAGTGCTACTTAATCATATATACCATTTATTGAGTCTTTAGTATATTTTGAATTATGAAATGAAAGTCAACTTTTGATTACCTTATGAACTTTTTTTTTTTCTTTTTGGGTCACACCCGGCGATGCTCAGGGGTTACTCCTGGCTCATGCACTCAGGAATTACTCCTGGTGGTGCTTGGGGGACCATATGGGATGCTGGGAATCGAACCTGGGTCAGCCATGTTGGCTGCGTGCAAGGCAAACGCCCTACCCGCTGTGCTATTACTCCAGCCCCACCTTATGAACTTTTTGATTTAATATTTAATAAGGATTTAAAAATACTTTTTAGGACTTTTAATTTAATGAAGTTTTAAGATATTACTGAGACTTTTGTAACTTAATAGAATTTTAAATTTACATTAATCTTTTTTTTTTCCTTTTATTTTTAGTGAATTAGTACCATCTTATGATTCAGCTACCTTTGTTTTAGAGAATTTCAGGTAAGAGTTTTTGACAATTTTTTTTTTTTTAATATATGAAAAAACCAACATAGCATAAACAACATGGTTGGTTTGGGATTTTGCTTTTGGTATTTTCCAATAGGTTTGATCGTGGTATTTGGTTCATTTTTGTTTTTTTATTTCAGCACTTTGCGTCAGAGAGCAGATCCTGTTTACAGCCCACCTCTTCAAGTTTCAGGACTTTGTTGGAGGTTAAAAGTTTACCCAGTAAGTTTTTCCTATTTCTAATATGTTTTGAAATAAAGCATTCCATAGTACTCTCGTTCCCTTTATTTAGTGGAATGAGAGTATAACGACAAATTTGGGTGAGGGGTTATGGTGGGCAACACCAGTAGTGGGTGCAGAGGGTCAGTGGGCTCTGTGCTCAGGAGAAACCTTTTAGGTTCTTAGGGACGATATATGGTGGCAATGATTTAAACTAGGGTTGTCTGTATGCAAGGCAAGCACCTTAACTCCATCCTATTTCTCTAGTCCTAATAGAAATTTTATAGGATAGTACCAGACTCTGAAAAGTTAAATGCAACCTGTATGAACCCTGACATGTTACTAAGAAGTCTCATTTCTTGTTTGTAGGAAGATACTTATTTTAAGTGTCTTAAATTTAAAATTTGAATTTAAGAGAAATTTAAAATTATTTTTAAAATCATATAAAAAACATAAACATGCTTTATTGCATATTTAATTGTGCTTTCTTTTGCTTGTTTTTTGTTTGTTTTTGGGCTATACCCAGCTGTGCTTCAGGCTAACTCCTGGCTCAGCACAGCTGAGGGATCACTCCTGGCGGGGTTCAGGGGACCATATGGGGTGCTACATGCAAATTAGGCGGCCTCCCTGTTGTACTATTTATTGCTCTAGTCCCAGTGCTTTTTCTAAAGGATATGTTCCTTTGACCTATATATTTTTTGTATTTGGTATAGTATTTAGCAACATGATAAAATCCTCATGTTGATTTTCATAGTAAGAATATAAATAGTGGGGCTGAAGTGATAGTGAAGTGGGTAGGTCATTTCCTTTGCACGAGGCCGACTGAGGTTTGATCCCTGGCATCTTTATGGTATTTCGAGCACCACCAGGAGTAATTCCTGAGTGTAGAGCCAAGAATAACCTCAGAGCATTGCTGGGTGTAACCCCAAAAGTCAAAAAAAAACAAAAAAAATGTAAATAGTAATGTGTTTGTTTTTCACATGATGTCTAATTGCACTTGATTTTATTAACAGCTATTGATGTGTTCATTACCTCTAATGTTCACTGAGTGATGAAAAGCAGTGGTATTCTCATTGTCTCTTTTTCATTTGTTAGTCATAAAATTTTATTTTATTTAATTTTTTTTTTGCTTTTTGGGTCACACCCGGCGATGCTCAGGAGTTACTCCTGGCTTTGCACTCTGGAATCACTCCTGGCGGTACTCGGGGGACCATATGGGATGCTGGGAATCGTACCCGGGTCGGCCGCGTGCAAGGCAAACGCCCTACCCGCTGTGCTATTGCTCCAGCCCCCAGTCATAAAATTTTAATGAGATGCTTTCCTTAACTATCATTACAGTTTACATAGAAGAGGTTTCTTTTAAGTTATTTACCAGTTTTTCTTTTGGAAAGTAGATGTATGAGCAAAGTACTTGAGAAATTTTAATTGCCCCGTTTAATATTGGGGCAATTTTGGCAAGTGACACTCCTGGTGCTGCTGTACATGACAGGGATTGTGTGTGGTGCCAGGAATCAAATGAGGGTTGACTGTGTGCAAGGTAAGCATCTTACCTCCATCCTGTATCTTACTTCTTTTGCTAGTTGTTAATATTTTCTGTAGAGTATATATCTTTTAGAGAGTCTCATCCATAAAAATTTAAAATATTTTAAATATAAACTAAAGTATATTGGCATTTGTGTTATTTATCTTAATGCTTTTAAGCTTAAAATTATTTTCCAATTCAAATATCAGGTATTAATACATATTTTTTTCATTATATCTTAATTTTTTTACATTTAAATTTACCTTTACCTTTTTTTAAAGGATGGAAATGGAGTTGTTCGTGGTTACTACTTATCCGTATTTCTGGAACTCTCAGCTGGCTTGCCCGAAACTTCTAAGTAAGATATTCAGTTAATAGGTTTTAGTGTGTATTTACATATATTTCTCTTAACAGTTATGTCTTTTTTTTTTTTTTCTTTTTGAGTCACACCTGGCGATGCACAGGGTCACTCTTGGCTCTGCACTCAGGAGTTACTCCTGGTGGTCCTCGGGGACCATATGCGATGCTGGGAATTGAATTCGGGTCTGCCACGTGAAAGGCAAACGCCCTACCCGCTGTGCTATCTCTCCAACCCCAACAGTTATGTCTTTTAAGAAAAACTGTATCACTAGCATGGAATCTTGCCATGGTATAATGGTATAAATCTAAGTTCTCAATTCACTTTAAAATAATTAACCTATTGTATATTACCATAACTTAAATCCATTTTAAAAACTAATTTTTTCTAAGATGAAGTAATATTTGGTGAAAACATTTTATAGTTTTGGAAGTGTTTGAATAGATGGGTCAGTAACTATTGTCATTTATTTATTTTGGCTTTTGGGCCTTACCCTATGGTGCTCAGGGGTTACTCCTGGCTCTGTGCTCAGGGATCACTTTTAGTAGTGATCAGGTGGACCACATGGGATGCTGGGGATTGAACCAGGTCAACTGCATGCAAGGAAAATGCCTGCTTGCTGTACTATTACTCGGCCCCAATAAGCTTACGTTTTAAATAAGTGTCATTTATGATATATTAATGGTATTAATTGTCTGGGGATTTTATTTTGTTTTGGAGCCACTCCTCACCTCTGCTCAAGTATCACACACTCCTGGTGCTGCTGTACATGACAGGGATTGTGTGTGGTGCCAGGAATCAAATGAGGGTTGACTGTGTGCAAGGTAAGCATCTTACCTCCATCCTGTATCTTTAACTTCTAGTGGTCTGTCTTTTAATTCTAGATATGAGTATCGTGTAGAGATGGTCCATCAGTCCTGTAATGATCCTACCAAAAATATCATTCGAGAATTTGCTTCTGACTTTGAAGTTGGAGAATGCTGGGGTTATAATAGATTTTTCCGTTTGGACTTACTTGCAAATGAAGGATACTTGAATCGACAAAATGACACAGTGATCTTAAGGTATAGGAATCATTTGATATTGTACTTACCCTGTGGGAATTTCATTAGAAGTTTATTAACAAAAAAAGGAATATTGAAACTCATTAGGAGTAAACTTACCATTTTAATTTATCATTTCATTTCAGGAATCCTGTGTACTGGGTGAATAATGAGTAACAAAATATGTTTGACGTATATTTGACATGTAGGCAGTGATTCCAAAAGTAGCAAATGAGGGGCTGAAGCTATAGTACAGCGGATAGGGCATTTGCCTTGCATGCAGCTGACCTGGGTTCGATCATCAGCATCCCATATGGTCCCCTAAGCACTGGCAGGAGTAATTTCTGAGTGCAAGGCCAGGAGTAACCCCAGAGCATTGCTGGGTGTGACCCAAAAAGCAAAAAATGAAAAAAAAAATAAAATAAAAAGCAAATGATTAGCAAATGTAGTAATGTTCCATTCTTTATTGAACATTTAGCAACCTCATGTTTTGGAAAAAGAGATCAGGAACTTTATGCCCCTGACTTTGTATGCTATTATAATTATAAATTAATTTTACTTCTTTCTAGAAAATGATTAAAGGTAGAGTTACAATTAAATGAGAATTTAAAACTTAAAATTGATGAAAACAAACTATGTGATACTAGTTGCTGTATTTGTAAGAAAGTACAGAGCAAAAATACTCTGTAAAGGACCAGAAAGATAGCAGAGCTGGTAGGGTGTTTGCCATGCACATGTCCAACTTGGGTTTGATCCCTGGCACCCCGTATGTTTCCCTGAGCACTGCCCCAGGAGTAAACACTAAGCACAGTCAATTCTAAAACAGCAACAAGTTATTCATTACAAAACAGGCCTGTTTAATATTGGGGCAATTTTGGCAAGTGACAAATAATGGGGCATCTTCACACAATTTTTTTTAAAACTTTTTTTATTGAATCACTGTGAGATATACCCTTACAAAACTGTTCATGATTGGATTTCAGTCACACAGTATTCCAACACCCATCCCTCTACCAGTGTACATTTCCCAGCACTAGTGCCCCAAGGTTCCCTCCCATCACACCCCCCCACCCCCACCCTTCACCCTCTGCCTGCCTGCCTCTATAGCAGGTGCTTTTCTTCTCTTTCTCTCTTCCCCACTCCCCCTTCCTTCCTTCCTTCCTTCCTTCCTTCCTTCCTTTCTCTCTCTCTCTCTCTCTCTCTCATCTCTCTCTTCCTCTCTCTCTCTTCCTTTTGGGCATTGTGGTTTGCAATATTGATACTGTCTTTACATGATGTTTTAATTTCATAGTGAAAATGAAAATGAGAAAAATTCACATATTTTAAGCATGTTTCATATGGAGGTTTAGAGTTTTTATCTGCTTATAAGGTTTCCATAACAACACCTTACTGCGGGAGAGACACACCCGGCCATGCTCAGGTATCACTCTGACAGTGTAGGGCTTGCTGGGGGGGGGGGGGGGAGGGGATGGTATGTGATGCTAGGGATTGAACTGGTGTCAGTTACATGCAGGGGGAGTGCCTTCAAAAGTCAGATCAAAGTGGATTAAGTGGATTAAAGACCTCAATATCAGACCTGAATCCATAAAGTACATGGAGGAAAATGTAGACAGAACCCTCCATGACATTGAAACTAAAGGCATCTTTAAGGATGAAACACCACTGACCAAGCAAGTAGAAGCAAACATAAACAAATAGGACTACATTAAACTAAGAAGCTTCTACACTTCAAAAGAAACAGTGACCAAAATCCAGAGAGAGCCCACGCAATGGGAGTTTATCCAGTATCCATTGGATAAGGGATTAATATCCAGGATATACAAGACATTAGTAGAATTGTACATGAAAAAAACCTCCAGCTCCATAGAAAATGGGGGAGAAGAAATGAACAAAAGTTTCCTCAGGAAATACAAATGGCCAAAAGATACATAAAAAAATGCTCTTCATCACTAATCTCAGGGAGATGCAGATCAAAACAACAATGAGATATCATCTCACACCACAGAGACTGGCACACATCAAAAAAACCAAGAACAACCACAACAACCACTGCTGGCATGGATGTGGGGAGAAAGGGACTCTGTTTCATTGTTGGTTGAAATGCCAACTGACTTAGCCTTTTTGGAAAACAATATGGGCATTCCTTAAAAAATTAGAAATTCACCTTCCAAATGACCCTGGAATTCCACTTTTGGGAATATATCCTGAGGGTGCAAAAAACAGTAGAAATGACATCTGCACCTGTATGTTTGTTGCAGCATTCACAGTAGACAGAATCTGGAAACAACCTGAGTTCCCGAGAACAGAAGACTGGCTAAAGAAACTTTGGTACATCTACACAACAGAATATTATGCAGCTGTTAGGAAAGATGAAGTCATGAAATTTGCTTATAAGTGGATGGTCTTGGGGAGTATCATGCTGAGTGAAATGAGTCAAAAAGAGAGGGGCATACATAGAATGACTGCACTCATTTGTGGAATATGAAATATCATAATATGAGACTAATACCCAAGGACAGGGCAGGAGTGATAGCACAGCAGGTAGAGCATTTGCCTTATATGCAGCTGACCCGGGTTCGATTCCTCCATCCCTCTTGGAGAGCTACCGAAAGTATCGTGCCTGCACAGCAGAGCCTGGCAAGCTCCCCATGGTGTATTCGATACACCAAAAACAGTAACAACAAGTCTCACAATGGAGACATTACTGGTGCCCGCTCAAGCAAATTGATGAACAACGGGAGGACAGTGCTACAGTGCTACCAAGGACAGTAGAGACAAGGGCCAGGAAGATGGCTTCACAGATGGAAGCCTGCCTTATGAGCTAGGGGAGAAGGCAGCTGGGATAGAGAAGGGATCACTTAAATCAGTGATGGAGGGAGCGCTCAGTATGGGGGATGTGTACTGAAAATTGATAAAGGACCTAACATGATGGCCTCTCCATTATCTGTATTGCAAACCATAAGTACCCATAAGTAGAGAGAGAGTAAGAGGGTAAGAGGGAAATTGTCTGCCATAGAGGCAGGAGGAAGGGTGGGAGCAGGGTGTAGGGATACTGGGAACATTGGTGGTGGAAAATGTACATTGGTGGAGTGATGGATGTTCGATCATTTTATGACTGAAGCTCAAACACGAAAGTTTTGTAACTGTAGCTCACGGTGGTTCAATTGAAAAAAAAAAAAAAAGGAAAGTACCTTAACCCCTGAATTATCTCTTGGATCCCAAGAATTTTTTTAATGCAGTTTAGCCTAACCTCTTAAGTTTTTGTTTAGATTACTTTTGTTTATAACAAAATTTATAGACTTGGTTATAATACAAGAGCAGATTCCTGTTATGATATTTAACCATATTTATTGAAAAATAACTGAGCATGTCTGGCACTGAGCTCATAATCAGAACAAGACTTTTTGTTTTGTTTTCTTTACGAAAATCAAGATGGAATGGTCAGACAAAAAGAAAATACTATTTTATAAGTCAGTTTTGTATTAACTAGTATGAGTGCTAATGATTGTTCAAAATGTAAAGATTCTTAGTAATTTTGTCTATACATAAATATGGATAATCTTTTTCATTGAAAGTGAGGGAATTTTACTTGCTACTTGATTTTGTTGTATGGTACAAAAATAGTGAAAATAGTGTACCATTTTAGAAGTCATTCAAAAGTGACAGTATACTTTAGAAAGTCTTCTAATGTGTTAATAATACTTACTGTCTAGGCAGTATGTACTTTGATGGTTAAGTGAATCAGTTCTATACTCCAGTGCATGAATACCTTGACTAAAAGGAGCTTGTTAAAGATGGCTATTAAGTGGTCCTTAGATACTGGTATGAGCTGTAAAATTGTAGGGGTAAATGAAATGGTAGTTAATATGGGGGTGGGAAACAAAGGTTGCTTTGTAGGTTTACGCAGTAGAGTTTCCTCTTTCTTCAGAGGTATACTGTAGTCCTATAGATTTTTTGTTGTAAATAGAGTTATATTCAGCTATATAGCAAAGATTTGCTGTAGTATTTACTCTTTTTTAATTAAAGTAATGGAATAAATTAAGAGCCTATAGTTTATATCCAGTAATACACTTTAATATAGATACTGTTGTTTTTTTTTGTTGTTGTTTTTCCTAAACCATGAAGAAATATGACATTGTGATATTTGAAAAGCTTGACCTACACTTATTTTCACTTCTTTCCGGAAAAATACAGATTATTCAGTGCATAAAACTTTTTGGGGAATAGTAAAGTTCAGGGCAGTTGAGCCATTAAGTAATTTTTTTAATTGAGAGGAAGGGAAAATTCTAGAAGAGGATTATTTAACACACTTTGCTTATTTTATTAGTGTTTGATCTGGACCAGAAAGTGGTAGGAAACATTATCTTCCTCTTTCAATATTTGATCGATTCTTCACAATTCAAAATCAACATTACATTTGCTCTAGATTGTTGTAATAAATATATTTTAGTAAGTTAGTTTGGGGTTGGAGCGATAGCATAGCAGGTAGGGTGTTTGCCTTGGATGCGGCCAGGTCAGCCGACTTGAGTTCGATTCTTCCGCCCCTCTCGGAGAGCCGGCAAGCTACCCGTGATGTATTCAATATGCCAAACACAGTAACAAGTCTCACAATGGAGACATGACTGGGCCCGCTTGAGCAAATCGATGAATAACGGGAGGACAGTACAGCACAGGTTAGTTTGGAAGCTAACAACATATAATATCATTTATTTAGAAATGGTAGTTTGTTGTCTGAGGATTGCTCAAAGGGCTGGAGCACATGTCTTGCGTGTGAGGCCCAAAGTTCAATCCCAGGCACACATTATACATGACACTACTTTGTATACCTAATAGGCCTCCAACCACTTGCCAGCTATGTGCCATATGCCTCTCCCCCCACTCCCCAGCACTATGTGCTGGTAGACTGAATTGTCCAACCTGTTTGATATAGTACTGGTAGAAGTCATTCCTGTGCCCCCTAAACATTGTTTGGAAAATCCCCTGCCCTCCCAAAAAAGAAATGTATAGTTTGATACCATTTTTCTTTTTTTGTTGTTGGTTTTGGTTTTGTTTTCTTTGGGAGTCACATGCAGTGGTACACAAGGTTTACTCCTGGCTCTCAGGAATCACTGGGGTTTGGAGGAATCATACATGGTAAGGGATCAAACCCAGGTGACTGTGTAAGGTAAGCCTTATTCATAGTACTCTCTCTCCCACTGGAGAAAAGTAGTCTACTCTAAAACTATACTAAACAAACTGGACTACCTGTATAAATGGTAATACCAGTAACTCTGAGCTAATTTGCATGTTGGCATTAGAAGTTAAATTAAGTTTTAATTTAATATAGTTAATATAGTTATAATTCATAATATAGGTATAATTTATAATATAGTTATAATTATAGCCTAATATAGTTATAATTCTAAGACTTAGTTGATAATATTTTATTACTTAAATTGTTTTTATGGACAACCATTCTTTCAGGTTTCAGGTACGTTCACCAACATTTTTTCAAAAATGCCGGGACCAGCATTGGTATATTACTCAATTAGAAGCTGCACAGACTAGTTATATCCAACAAATAAACAACCTAAAAGAGGTAAGAAAATAGCTTACAGTTGAATTATAACATTTCCTGTTGCCTTTTGTCCTATTAAGATCTTGACTGTCTTTTGGTATTTATTTTTTCAGAAAAATCTAATTACCTGTGTTCCATTCTTATCACCTTTGAACCTTTAACTCTGTACTGTCCTATTCAGTAGCCATTAGCCACGTAAGGTTGTGTAAATTAGACTTTATTAAAGTTACAGTTTAGTTCCTTTCTTGCACTGTCGTCTTTCAGGTTGCTTGTATTGAACAGTGCAGATACAGAACATTTCCATCATTGCATAAAGTTGTATCTGATGATATATATTGCTGTACTTAAAGGTTAAAAACTCTTGTTTCTTTTGCTAATTTGATGTTTTTTTCCATGTCTTGAATTTATACTATTCTAAACTGTAGAACAATGGAGAGATACCCTGCCTTGAATTTTCACTGTTTAATTGAACATTGGGGAAGATCAGTTAATGAATTTTTTATTTCGCAATAGTAAACTAAATGATGTACTGAATAAATTTTACTTTTTTGGGTGGTGGGGGAGTTGGGGAGATTGTGGTCACCCCACGATGCTCAGGGGTTACTCCTGGCTCTGTCCTCAGTTATCACTCTTGTCATTTTAGGGGAACCTTATGGGGTTGAACCAGGTTGGCTGTGTGCAAGTCGTACCCACTGTACTATCACTGTGCCCCCATATACTGTATAATATTCTTACTACCAATGGAAATTTGAATGAAGTTGGAAGTGCTGAGGGCAATTATTAGCTTTAAGAAAATATGAGTATATATTTACAATCAGATTTTTATGTTGTGTACAGTTAAAGCAGCAAATACAGTTTAATCAGTTTGAAAGAGAAAATGATAAATTTTTTTGGTGCGGGTTGGGGGACACACTTGGCTCTGCCTAGGATTTACTCCAGGTGGCCTGGGGAACCATGTAACATCAGGGAACTGAACCTGGGTCAGCAAGCATCTTACTTGCTGCACTATCACACTGGCCCCAACTAGTGATATCTTTAACTTAGGTTGGATGTAAAAAGAATATAGAGCAAATTGAGCAATTTTTCCTTCCTGTAAGCAAAAGGCTTAAATGATTGATGGTTAAATGATTTTAGGAATATATGGATAGTTTCTTACATGTGTGCCAGTAAAGCACATTATAACTCATGTTTATTTGTGCTATTCTCATTTTGAAAGAGACTGACTATAGAGTTGTCTCGAACGCAGAAATCAAGAGATTTATCACCACCAGATAATCATCTCAGCCCCCAGAATGATGAGGTGCCTGAGACACGAACAAAGAAACCTGGGTCGTGCACTGACATGCTTCTTCAGGATGCTTCTACTGCAGCTTCTGTAAGCGAAGCCAAGGAGGATGAAGAAGATGAGGAGAAAATTCAGAATGAAGATTATCATGTAATAATAATAAGGCTCATTTTAGGTTGATTCTATACTTGATAAGAGAAATGATAGGTTTTTTTTTTGGAGAGTCACACCTGACAATGCATAGGGGTTATTTGTGGCTTTGCACTCAGGATTTACTCCTGGTGGTGCTCGGGGGACCATTTGGGATGCTGGGAATCGAACCTAGGTTGTCTGCGTGCCAGGCAAACGCCCTATCCGCTGTATTATACAGCCTCAGTGTTCGTATTCTAATATACCCGACCCAGATCAAATATTGAAGAAATGTTGTGCTTAAAATATTACCTATTTTCGGTATATGACCTTTCATAAATGTTAATAAATTTATTGGAAGTGGTTTGATTAAAGAAAGATAAGCATAGCAGGGTTTTTTTTTTTGGTAGTTGTTTTAAATTAATTTACTTATTGGACTTTTTGCCACATTTGTCAGCTAGAACTACTCTGACTGTGCTTGTGGAGGGTCACTCCTAGTAGTGTTGGAGACCATGTGGTATTGGAATCAGTCTGGGACAAGGAAGGTCCCTTTACCCCTGCACTCTTATCTGCCCCTATAGTTATTTTTCATGATGGGTATACATTTGTAGATATCTGCTAAAATAAAGGAGTCATTGAGGAAAGAGATTAAGGATAAGATATTGAGTATTAAGGAAACTAAGGAAATAATGGGTATTGAAATTGAGCGTTCAGGTGAAATAATTAACCTTCAGTGGTTGACTGAAAGGAAGGAAAGTGTTTAGTAGGACAACTGAAAAATTGAGATCTAAAATAACCAGGTATGATCTTCTGTGTAAATAAGGGACAGGGTTGATAGTGAACTTTGCTGGTTACAGATATTGGTGGGACTTGAGTGGTGTTTTCAGGAACAGTAGTAAAGCCTGACATGGAGGCTATATGAAAGATTTCCAGTTATTTTGAGTATCCACTCAAACTTGGCAGCAATAAATTTGTAGTGATAGGCTGTGAAAGAGGTAGTGTAATTTTTGTTGTTATTGTTGTTGTCAGTTTTGGGGGCATACCTGGTGGTACTCAGGGCTTACTCCTGCTTGCTACTGAGGGATCACTCCTGGTGGTGCTCAGGGGACCATAAGGGATGCCAGGGATTGAACCTGGCTCAGCCATGTGCAAGGCAAGCATTCTGCCCACTGTACTGTTCTTCAGCCCTAAATGATTTATTTTTGTTTCCTTTTGTATTTTGGGGGCCACACCCAGTAGTGCTCAGGACTTATTCCTGGCTCTGCACTTAGGAATCACTCCTTGCGGTTCTCGGGGGACCATATGGGATGCTGAGGATCGAACCCGGGTTGGTCTCCCACAAGGCAGGCACCCTACCCGCTGTACTGTTGCTCTGGCCCTGGTTTGGTTTTTGAATCATGGATTTGGTGGGATGCTTATCACAATGGAAACATTAATAAGACTGATTTTGTTTGTGTGCACTGATCTAGCATGAGCTTTCAGATGGAGATCTAGATCTCGATCTCGTTGGTGAAGATGAAGTCAATCACCTTGATGGCAGCAGTTCCTCTGCTAGTTCCACAGCAACAAGTAACACAGAAGAAAATGACATTGACGAGGAAACTATGTGAGTATCTTAAGTTAACTATATAACTACAAAATAAATGCTAATAAAATTATATCAGCTGACTTAAGCACAAACATTGGAGTATTCAACAGTTTTTTTTTTTTTAAATTGGCAGTGGCAGCAGGTAGGGCGTTTGCCTTGCATGTGGCCGACCCGGGTTCGAATCCCAGCATCCCATATGGTCCCCTGAGCACCGACAGGAGTAATTCCTGAGTGCAGAGCCAGGAGTAACTCCTGAGCATCGTTGGGTGTGACCCAAAAAGCAAAAAAAAAAAAATTGGCAGTGGGTAGAGGGATGATTACACACTGAGGTGGTCAGGGAGTATTTCTGACAGGGTTTAAACCCAGTCTCACCCCTAATTCAAAATGATGGAGCCAGAGCTATGAAGCAGAAGTGAAGAAAAAGATATGCTTGATGTGGTGATTCTTACTGCAACTTTCAGAAACTGAAACCTTGTTGGTAACAGAGTTGGGGTATTACCCCCTAGATGTTTTCAACTTCATTCTCATGCCCGGGACCTCTGCTTTACAAATGAAGTAGAAATAAGGATGATCTGTAAGGATGATCAATCCCTATAATATCAGCATATTGTATCTGGTAGAACCTTTGTTTCTTGGGTGCAGGAGCTAATATAGGTGAAAGAATGGAATTCCCCAATGGCTGAAATCACCTCAGCCTCAACAGGTAACTCGATTCAGGGTGAGAAATTCTGATACTTTGCATTGTGTGAGTGTCTATTGTGAGCTATGGTTGGTGGTACGCCAGATAAGAGCACTATGAAATTGACTGCATTCCACTGAAATAGAATTTTTTTTTGCGGGGGAGGGGAGTGCAGTGCATATAATTTATGACCAGTGGTTACTCCTGACTCTGCACTCAGGAATTACTCCTGTCGGTACTCAGGGGACCATATGGGATGCCATGGAATCAAACCTGGGTTGGCCATGTGCAAGGTAAGTGCCTTACCCTCGTACTATCACTACAGCCCCTGAAGTAAAATATCTTCTATTGGGGCCAGTGAGATATTATAGAGGGTAAAGCATTTGCCTTGCATGTGGCTGACCCGGTCCAGTCCCTGGCACCCAGTATCATTCCCTGAGCACTGCCAGGTGTGTCCCCCTATAAAAAAAATTTTTTTTTTCTGTCACCACTATATGGAAGGGGAAGAATAAATGATACATTAATACATCATGTACTGTTATTGTACTATTACTTAGTTGTTATTTTTGTTTTGGGGCCATACGTGGCAGTGTTCAGGGCTTATTCCTGGTTTTGCATTTAGTGATCATTCCTGGTGGGCTTGGGAGACCATATAGGATTCTGGGGATTGAACCAGGGTCAGCTGCATGCAAGGCAAATGCCCTGCCCACTGCACTGTGGCTCCAGGCCCATCAGTTATTATTTTTGTATTTAGAAATAAATATCTCCCTGTAGAAAGCACAGTGTAAAATTGTAACAAAATTTCTTGAGGTGTGACAATTAATGGTAATTGTAGTTACCACATGGGAATGATAAACTTTGTTTGATCTTAGGTCTGGAGAAAATGATGTGGAATACAACAGCATGGAATTGGAAGAGGGAGAACTTATGGAAGATGCTGCTGCTTCTGGACCTCCAGGTACAGAAACAAAGATCACAGACCCGTCTGTTGTCTCTTTGCTCTTAGATGATATCACTTACTTTTTTTACTGTTGTTTTTGGGTCACATCCGGCTGTACTCAAGACAAACTTCTGGCTCTGCATTCAGGAATCGCTCCTGGTGGGGTCAGGGGACCATGGGATGCTGGAGAATCAACACAGGTCTGCTGCTTGTAAGGCAGGCACCTTCACTGCTGTACTATCTCTCCAGCCCTTTGGTTGTATCACTTTTAAAAATTATGTGTATGTGAATATATGTATATTTTTTGTTTCGTTATGTTTTGTTGTTGTTCGGTTTTTGGGTTACACTCTGTGGTACTCAGGGCTTACTCCTGGTGGGCTTGGGAGACAGTATGGGGTGCTGGGGACCGAACCTGGGTTGGCCTCATTCAAGGCAAGTAAACTGCCTGCTATACTATTGCTCCACCTTCCCACCGCCTGCCATTACATGTTTTATAGTTATTTTTGTGATGCTGATAGAATCTCAAGGCCTAACTAGGCTGCCAAAACAAAGAAAGACAAAAACGACTGTCTGTACTTTCAATGCACATACACTGGCATCGGATGCATCCATCGAGGACCTGATGGTACAAGCGTGAATGATCAAGTACGACATCGTTGGTCTGACCGAGACCAGAAGGCATCAGTCACATCATGCCATTTTCAACAGTGGAGAAGAACTGTTCCTCGAAACATGTGACAAAAGAGGCATTGGTGGTGTCAGTGTCCTTGTCAACACAGACTTGGCCATAAGCATTGATTCATTCAAATGCCTAACAACCTGAATTGAACAATTACACTTGAATAGATAAGGCTCACTGCCGGCAGTTCCTGTCTTTGTTGTCTATGCACCAACATCCAGTTATGATGAAGAAATTGAGAAGTTCTACATGGAGCTGGAAAAGTTTTATAAAGAAGACCACACCTTCTACAAGATCATTGTCAGTGATTTTAATGCCAAGATAGGACCGAAAAGATCAGCTGAAGAACTCCACATTGGGACCCACGGCCTAGAATGGAACGAACAGGGTGAGAGATTATCTGAGTTCATCATGTCGACCAAGACCATCCATGGTAACTCAGCTCCAGAAGACTGAATCTAAACGTTGGACTTCGGAGTCTCCCGGTGGACGGTTCCACAACGAAATTGACCACATCATACTCAATCAAAGGTTTTGCCTGACCGATTTTGCTGTTGTCCCAAAATTCCAAATGGGATCGGACCACCGTCTCCTTTGTGCAAAATTCTACTTCACGGAGCAGGGAGAAAGGGCTGCAAAGTTTAAGAAGAGAACTCCCAGAACGACCACCAACTGGGAGCTCTTTGGCACTATTGCTACAATATGGGAAGATGCCGTCGTTGACAACATTGATGAGGAATACGATCGACTGATTCAGCACCTCCATGATTATGCGAAGAACGCCAAGAAAGAAATAGCCACAAAAAGACGCCTGTCTTTGAAAACTCTTGAGCTTATTTGCCAACGTGGCTTGGAGCAAACCTTGGGTAACCACAAGCGAACGTCTGACCTCACAAAACAGTGCAGAGAAGCAATAAAGGAAGACCTCAAAGAGAGAAGAGCAGCAGTGCTGGCAGATGAGGCAGAAGCAGGGAAAAGCATTCGCAACGCCTGCCTGTCCTTCACCAACTACAAGACCAAGATGACTGCCCTCCGACGTTCTGATGGATCTATCACATCTTCAAGAATTGCAGTGGAGAAGATTATCCATGACTTCTACTCGGATCTCTTTGATAGCCACGTCCACCTGCCCACATACCAAATTCCGCAGGATGAATATGTCGTTCCCAATGTTCTCCCTTTTGAAATCTGACACGCCATTTTGTCGGTAAAGATGTGAACAGCACCAGGCCCCTACAAGGTCAGACTTGAACACCTGAAGAATCTGCCATCCGTACTCATTAATACACTGGCTCGGCTCTTCACACACTACCTCTCTGAATGCAGGGTTTCATCCCAGTGGAAAACCAGCAGGACTGTACTACTGTACAAGAAGGGAGACATCCATGACATTGGCAACTATGGCCTAATCTGCCTATTGTCTGTCATCTCCAAGCTGTTCACTCGAGTCATCCTGAATAGGATTGGCAGAACACTCGATGAAGGACAACCATGCGAGCAAGCTGGGTTCTGCAAAAGATTCAGCACGATTGACCATATCCACATGATAACCAAGCTCATTGAGGTTTCTCGGGAGTTCAAGATGCCACTCTGTCTAATGTTCATTGATTAGAAGGCCTTTGATTCTATTGAGACCAAAGCAGTCATCGAAGCCCTAGCCAGACAAGGTGTTCAAACTCAATACATCAGAATCCTCTGTGAACCCTATTACGAATTCACTACTAGGATCTCACCATTCTACAGGAAGTGATCATTTTCGTCAAGAGAGGGGTTTGGCAGGGTGATACCATTTCACCAAAAATCTTCAGTGCCACCCTCGAAAACATCATGCGACAACTAGAATGGGAAGGAATAGGAGTGAAGATAGACAGTCGGCAATTAGACCACCTCTACTTTGCTGATGACATTCTAATAACAGCAAACATTAGCCAAGCGGCACAAATGCTGGCCAACATCGACAATGAGTGTGAAAAGGTCGGATTACAGCTGAATCTCATGAAGACAATGTTTATGAGAAACAGTTTCGTTCCTGAAGTTCCATTTGCTCACAAGGAAATAAACATCTCCGAATGCAACAGTTATGTGTATCTAAGTCGAGAAGTCAACATGACAAATGACCTGGCACCTGAGTTGCGCAGGAGGAAGAGAGCGGCTTGGAATGCTTTCCAGAGCGTCGAAGAAATAGCTAAGAGTACGAAGAACCTCCTGCTCTGGGCACATTTCTTTGATTCCACTGTTCTTCATTAACATACGCCTCAGAGACCTGGGCCCTATGAAAACAGGATGAGAAGAACGCTATTTGGGTCTCCCAAAGAGGAATCGAAAGAGCTATGCTTGGAGTATCACGCTTCACTCAAATGAGAGAAAGAATTTGGAGTTCCGACCTCCGTCAACGGTCAAGAATCAGGGACGCGGTCTCGTTTGCCAAGGTGTCAAAAATTAGATGGGCTGGACACATAATGAGATTTGGAGATGACCACTGGACTAGAGCTGTTACCGACTAGATTCCACTGGACGTCAAAAGACCGAGTGGCCGCCCACCTACGAGATGATCAGACTTCGTCATGACCCTGAACGATCAGTTTGAAGCTCTTTGTTTTCCTAGAACGAGCAGACACCATTGGGCTACACTAACATGCGGCAGGGATGAATGGAGACGTTACTGCTGACCTCTTGAGCAAATCGATGAGTAACAGGATGTCAAGTGATCAAGTGATCAAGATCTTGTGATGCCAGAGATTGAACTCAGGTCTTCCACTTGCAAGATAAGTACTTCAGTATTGGACTTTTTGGGGCTGGAGCAATAGTACAGTGGGTAGGGCATTTGCCTTGCATGCAACTGATCCGGGTTCAACCCCCAGCATCCATATGGTACCCCAAGCACTGCCAGGAGTAATTCCTGAGTGCAAAGCCAGGATAACCCCTGAGCATCACTGGGTGTGACCCAAAAAGCCAAAAAAAAAATTGAACTTTTCCTGACAGGTATTTTTTTTTAATATTTTAATTTTTATTAAAATATTACGACATCATTGGTCTGACCGAGACAAGAAGGCACGAATATCACCATGCCGTTTTTTGATACTGGAGAAGAATTGTTCCTCGGAACATGCGATAAAAGAGGTGTTGGAGGCGTCGGTGTCCTTGTCAACACAAACTTGGCCAAGAACATTGATTCATTCGAATGCCTAACAACCCGAATCGGACGTTTACATTTGAATAGATGTGGCGCACTGCCTGCAGTTTCTATCTTCGTTGTCTACGCACCAACATCTCATTATGGTAAAGGTAAAGGTAAAGGCCCTCCCGTTGATCGTCGATTTGCTCGAGCAGGCCCAGTAACATCTCCATTGGAGACTTTGTTGTTACTGTGTCTGGCATATCAAATACTCTCAGTAGCTTGCCGGGCTCTCCGAGAGGGGCAGAGGAATCGAACTCGGGTCGGCCATGCTGGCCGCTTGTAAGGCGAACGCCCTACCGCTGTGCTATCGCTCCAGCCGAGAAGTTCTACATGGAGCTGGAGAAGTTCTATAAAGAAGACCACACCTTCTACAAGATCATTGTGGGTGATTTTAATGCCAAGATAGGACCGAGAAGATCAGCTGAAGAACTTCACATCGGGACCCATGGCCTAGAATGGAACGAACAGGGTGAGAGACTGTCTGAGTTCATCATGTCGACCAAGACCATCCATGGTAACTCACAGTTCCAGAAGGCAGAATCTAAACGATGGACATGGGAGTCTCCCGGTGGACGATTCCACAACGAAATAGACCACATCATATTCAATCGACGGTTTTGCCTGACCGATGTCGCTGTTGTCCCAAAATTTTGAACAGGATTGGACCACCATCTCCTTCGTGCAAAATTCTACTTCACAGAGCGGGGAGAAAGGGCTGCAAAGTTCAAAAAGAGAACTCCCAGAACAACCAACAACTGGGAACTCTTTGGTACTATTGCGGCAACATGGGAAGATGCCATTGTTGACAACATTGACGAGGAATACGATCGACTGGTTCAGCACCTCCATGAATGTGCGAGGAACGCCAAGAGAGAGATAGCCACAAAAAATCGCCTATCTTCGAAAACTCTTGAGCTAATTTGCCAATGTGGTTTGGCGCATGCCTCAGGCAACCGCAAGCTAACGTCCGAGCTCGCAAAGCAGTGCAGAGATGTGATCAAGGAAGACCTCAAAGAGAGAAGAGCAGAAGTACTGGTAGATGCGGCAGAAGCCGGGAAAAGTATTTGTAACGCCTGCCTGTCCTTCGCCAACTACAGGACCAAGATGACTACCCTCCGACGTCCTGATGGATTCATCACATCCTCCAGAACGGCAATGGAGAAAATTATCCATGACTTCTACTCAAATCTCTTCGATAGCCATGTCCACTTGCTGACATACCAAATTCCACAGGATGGATATGTCATTCCCACCGTTCTCCATTCCGAAATCCGACACACCATTTCGTCGGTAAAGAAACAAACAGCACCCGGCCCAGACAAGGTCAGACCTGAACACCTGAATTATCCACACGATAATCAAGCTCATTGAGGTTTCTCGGAAGTTCAAGATGCCGCTCTGTTTAACGTTCATTGATTTAAAGAAGGCCTTTGATTCTGTTGAGAAGGAAGCGGTCATTGAAGCCCTAGCCAATCAGGGCATTCAAGCCCAATACATCAGGATCCTCCGTGAGCTGTATTGCGGATTCACTACCAGGATCTCACCATTCTACAAAGAATTGATCGTTGATGTCAAGAGAGGGGTTTGGCAGGGTGATACCATTTCACCGAAACTCTTCAGTGCCACCCTCGAGAACATCATGCGATGACTGGAATGGGAAGGAATGGGAGTGAAGATAGATGATTGGCAACTACACCACCTCCGCTTTGCTGATGACATTGTTTTAATAACACCAAACATCAGCCAAGCGGCACAAATGCTGGCCGACTTTGACCGTGAGTGTGGAAAGATATGACTACAGCTGAATCTTACGAAGACAATGTTTATGAGAAACAGCCTCGTTCCTGATGCCCCATTCGCTCTCAACGGAACGACCATCTCCAAATGCAACAGCTATGTGTACCTAGGTTGAGAAGTCAACATGACAAATGACCTGGCACCCGAGCTGCGCAGGAGGAAGAGAGCGGCTTGGAATGCCTTCAAGAACGTCGAAGAAATAGCTAAGAGGACGAAGAACCTCCGGCTCCGGGCACATCTCTTTGAATCCTCTGTTCTTCCTGCATTAACATATGCTTCAGAGACCTGGGCCCTACGCAAACAGGATGAGAACGCTATTCGGGTCTCCCAAAGAAGAATAGAAAGAGCTATGCTTGGAATATCACGTTTCACTCAAATGAGAGAAAGAATCCGGAGTTCTGACATCCGTTGACGATCAAGAATCAGGGACGCTATCTCATTTGCCAAGGTGTCAAAAATCAGATGGGCTGGTCACGTAATGAGATTTAAAGACGACCTCTGAACTAGAGCTGTTACTGACTGGATTCCATGGGATGTCAAAAGACCGCGTAGCTACCCACCTACCAGATGGTCAGACTTCTTCGTCAAGATCATGAACGATCGGTTTGAGGCTCTTCATGTTCCCAGAGGGAACAGATGCCATTGGGCTACACTAGCACCTGACAGGGACAAATGGAGACGTTACTGGCGCCCACTCGAGCAAATCAATGACTAACGGGAAGTTAAGTGATTAAATGAAGTGAATTTTTATATGTTGTTCACAATAATTTATTACATTAAATATTTCAGTACCAATCCCACTATCATTATACCTTTCCACCACCATTATTTTGAATTTTTCCACCACCACCCAAGCCTGTCTCAAAGGCAGATGCTAAATTTCGTATTGCTTGTTATGAATAATCAACTAAAAATGATCCAAAAAGGTTTCCTTAGAGGAAAGTGTGTGAAAATTGTTGCATCTGACTGGGAGCTATTAAGCACATGTATCATTAACATGTTGTTACAGGTTGAGTCATTTGTGTTTGTGTGTGTGTGTGTGTGATTATTATTTTTTTTTATCAAGATCGGTTACCTTCTACCTTACACCCCATCAGATGTGGTATGCTACTCTTGTTATATCAGAGGCATAAAGTATGAGCTGTCAGTGCGCTCAAGGAATTCTAAAAATTTAAATAGGGTGCTAGTTATATTTTTAACTAGATGGTGATTCTGGGGTCTGGAGGCATCTCTGCAGCAAGTTGCTCTCTTCTGAGATTTATTTGTGAGTCTCTGGATCTTGGCTGTTAATGAACTTACATGGCACCCAGAGGCAGTTCGTGGCCATGACTGCCACGGGCCCGGAAGCACAGAGAGATTGGTGGAGGATGCCCGTTCCTGGCTCCGTGTGAGCCTGGAGATTTCAGTCACATACCTGGGTTTTTTGGTGGATTCATTCTCCCATGTGGGCGTTTTGTCTCAAACCTGTGAAGATTGGCTGTGAGCATGATGGCAGTTGGGGTCTGGAGGTTTGCAGCTTCCAGGTTCTGTTAGGGTAGGTGGAGGGACACGTCTGCCCCCCTTTGAGGTACCTGGATGAAGTCAGCCTGGCTCAGGTGAGGAAACATCTCTGCAGTGTGTTGCTCTCTTCTGAGATTTATTAGTGTCTTTCCTGACAGTTCTTGATCAATCTGACTGACAGTTCAAAGGGCTCAGCCCCTGTGTTGGTTAGGAACTTCCTTTTTTCAGAGTACTAATAGGAGACTCTCCTGTTTAAAAAAAAAAGAATTACAGGTGATTTGTTTAAATATTTTTTCCTCAAGGAAATGGAATGTGATTCTCCATTCTTAAATGTAGGCTATGTTTAATGACTTGCTTTGTAAATAAGTAACAAAGTGGGAGGTGGGTGGGGATGAATTTATACTAGAAAAACTTACGAAACATTACATTTGCCAAGTGATCCAAGTTAATGCTATTGCTGTTGTCATAGTGGTAGCATTAGATTGGCACTGTGGTGTCATCCTCCTTTAAACCCTTAAGCACGGTCTAACCATGAGAATACCACATACAAATCTCAAGTGAGGGACATTCTGAAAATGAGACCAGAGTTCCTCAAAATTACCAAGGTCCTTGAGGGCAGGACTATAGTAGAGTGGGTAGAACTCTTGCCATGCAGCCACCCTGGGTTTGATCCCCAGAATCCCATATGGTCCCCTGAGCAACACCAGGAGTAATTACTGAGTGTACAGTCAGGAGTAACCCCTGAGCATCACCCAGAACACCAAAACAAACTACCAAAGCCCTCATAGACAAGTTGGAGAAACTGTCATAGACAGAGTGACCCTAAAGAAAAAGATACAACTATATATAAATATTCTGTATGGGTCCCTGGAACATAAGAACATAGTGGGGATATTAATGAAATCTGAATTAGTGTGGAATCTAGGTAATACTAACATAACTGTGTTGGTTTATTAACTAATAAGTGTACCAAGTAATAAGAAATTCTACTAGTAGAGAAACTAGGTATAGTATAAATAGGAACTTCCTTATTTATACTTTTTCTTTAAATCTATTCGATATGCCAAACACAGTAACAAGAAGTCTCATGATGGAGACGTTACTGGCCCCGCTCGAGCAAATCGATGAACAACGGGAGGACAGTGCTACAGTGCAGTGCTTTAAATCTAAAACTTCTAAAATGAACTATTGAAGTTTTGATGTGGCAATGAAAAAGCTGATTGGGGTGATGTAGAAAATGCCTTGTGTTATGAATTACACTTCCGTGTTGTTAATGGTTAATATTTTGGAACCCTACAGTCATCCAAAGAATTGTATCAGTCAATAAACTGTTAAGTTGTTAATTAAAATGGAGGTCTTTCTTATACAGAATCTAGGTATAAAGTAAAATGGTATTATTTTTAACTTATAGAAAGTGCCGAATAACTTGAAAGAGCTACTGGGTGATACTGAAAATACATCTTTAGTGATTTGGATTATTTTATTCCCATAAGAATTGCTTTTAAAGACTGCAGAGATAGTATAGGGTTTATATCTTTGCCTTGCACATTGGCCGACTCCAGTATCTGAGCATCAAGCCAAGAGTAAGCTCTGAAGACTGCCATATGTGACTCCAAAACCAAAAAATAATAACTGCTTTTAGTTTTGTTACTCTTTTTAGTTGCAAGAGAATGTATGTTTTTAAATACGTATTGTAGCACTGTGGTCCCGTTGTTCATCAGTTTGATTGAGCCGGTATCAGTTACGTCTCCATTGTGAGATTTCTTGTTACTGTGTTTGGCATCTTGAATAGATTTAAAGAAAAAGTACAAATAAGGAACTTGTTGTTGCTGTTTTTGGCATATTGAATATGTCACCGGGAGCTTGTCAGGCTTTGCCAGATATGTACTGTACAGGTGATAAATGTTTATCTAATGTAGAATATTTGCTAGTTGAATCAGTTTAGTGGGAGAAATCCATTTCCTGTTTGCTGACCATATCTGATTGATGAAACGTTGTCAGTCACATTTCACTATTGAGAATTAAAACAGTACAGTTCTAAAACAAATTTAATTTATAATAAGGTTATACTGGACATTTATCTATGAGACTTAAGACATATATATATATTTCTCACATGTCCGAAATGATGGCAACATTAGCTCTGATAGTGGGAAATTGGAGCAGATGCGAAAGTCTTTGATGCCTATGGGTGAATGTGATGATAGAATAGGGGGCGGAGAGAGAGAGGAGGGACCAGGGGACATAAACCACAAAAGATTGGGATTTTCATTTATTGATCAAAGTAAAGACTTGGAAGAGCAGTAAGAAATAGGCGATGCGAATCTTCCTTTCTTTATATGAATACCACCAGCTTCTAGGAGTTAAGTTCATGAAAAGTGTAAGTATTCTAATAACAGATCAGCTTCTTTCTAGTATGCTTAAAAATGTGCAAATTAAAGGCATACATGCTGTGTATCTCTATTTTTTTTTATAGGTAGTAACCATGGCTATGTAGGTGCTAGTGGCAGAATGTCAAGAAGAGCACATTTATGTTCTACTGCTACCAGTAGTTTACTAGATATTGATCCTTTAATTTTAATGCACTTGTTGGACCTTAAGGACTGGAGTGGTATGGAGAATTTGTGGGGTTTACCACCTCGCCCACCTACTTCACTTTTGCAACCTCCAGGTAATATATTAACAATAATCACCTTTTTTTCCTGTATTTACTTCTTTTTTAAAAAAGATCTCTTGGATTTTAATCCAGATAATCCAGATATTTCAGCTACATCTTGGGACATTATATATTTCTGTAACAAAAGATTGATCTTTTAAAGTTTTTTTTTTTTTTTTAATGCTCGAAGCCATACCTGGTTATACTCAGGGGCTACTGAGGATTTGGTAGACCTTGGTGTCTGCTTCTCAAAGGGTTCCAGGGATTTATTGTTGATTTTGTGTTCAGATACAGAGGTGCTTTTAGCTGCTTTTAGTATATTTAAGAGTGTGCAGACTAAAGGCATACATACTGATTACTTACCTGGCAGGGGAGATATCATGATCATGAAGGTGGTTTTCCCCGGGTGAGGCTTATTCATTGCACTTCGGATGTGCTGACCCCTGCGATTTCCCCAAATGAGGGAAACTCGACTACATATTTTGTGGCGGTGGGGGACTGTGCTTGCGCTCTCCCCTGAAGTTGTATATGATTATATATCATGGTCACGGTCCTCCCGTTGTTCATCGATTTGCTCGAGCAGGCCTAGTAACGTCTCCATCATGAGACTAGTTGTTACTGTGTTTGGTATATCGAATACGTCACGGGTAGCTTGCCAGGCTCTGCCGTGCAGGCGAGATATTCTCGGTAGCTTGCCGGGCTCTCCGAGAGGGGCGGAGGAATCGAACTCGGGTTGGCCATATTGGCTGCATGCCCTACTGCTGTGCTATAGCTCCAGCCCGATTATGTATGTATGTATGTATGTATATAGATGTAAGCATGTATCACTTATGTATTGATTTGGAAGAAAAGGGACAGCTGTCATTTAGTTACCTGAGGAAGAAGAGTAGATCTGCTTTTAAACTTTTAAAATTATATTTGAATGGTTATGAGACCCAGATCATAACTTTTAAAATATTTGAAAGAGGTGACCAGAAGGTGACAGTATTGACAGATACTGACATCTGGAAAAAAAGTTGTAGAAAGCTCTAATTCCTAAAGACCAAAACTGAATAATTGAAATGGGTGTTGTAGGGGGAGATTCTCAATTATAATGAACCAGATAACTTAGAAAATTCATGAAGGCTTTGCACCATCAGTGCATTAAATCATTAACTTGTCGGGTTTTGGGTCAGGGAGACAGTACAAGAGGTGAGGCACTTTCCTGCCATGCAGCCAATCCTGGTTTGATACTCTACCTTGCATATGGTTTCCTGAGCACTGCCAGGTTATTCCTGCACAGAACTAGGAATAGCCCTGAGCACTGCCCTGAGCACTGCCACTTTTCACGACCATAAAAAGAAGAGTTGGTCAAGATCCCTGATATATAAGGGTTCCTGATAGCACCATAAACGTTCCTGTTTAGGCACTTATAGTACTTAAATTTATTATTTTTCATTTCCCCAGCTTTTGTGTAGGCAAAAATTTGATAGCTTGTCTTATTCTCTATTTTATCCCCTGTGGAGCATAGTATGTAGTATTTGAAATCAGTTTAGTAGGTGTTTATGACTGATTTTCAAATGATGACTTGTTGAAATGTTTTTGTATTTTCCCACTTGGGATACTCATTATCCTCATTCTTGTCAATTGCTGGTTATAAAATTGAACCATGTGGGATAATATTTTCTTATTTAATTCTGTGTACATGAAGAGTGGAGGTGGAAACCACAAAGATTTTATTTAATAAGACATGTTGAGTACTTTGTGCCATAGTCTGTTGTTCCTGAAACACAGAGGTGACTAAACCTATTCACAGTTCTATAGTCTGTCTTCTTAAAATGGGATAAGTTCTGAAGTATACTTCATGTAGTGTGCAAAATTAGGTAAGAATTGATTTGGGAGAAAAAGTCATTAAGGTACCTGGAGAAGGAGTAGGGAATATTTGGATTTTATCTTTATGATCACTTGGTTAGAGTGGGAGGGCAAAGGAATAAATAGTTTGGAGAAGTACAGAAGCACGTGTGACTGATGTATTAATTTGGAGGAAAAGGGATGGTTTGTCATTTAGGTACTTCTAGGAGGAGAAATAGAGCTGTTTTTACACTTTTAAAATTGAATTATTCATATTTGAATGGTTTTGAGATCCAGATAGTAACTTTGAAAGTATGAATGAAGTAGAATGTTATTGTAATAAAATTCCACAAATGCCTATATTGTTGATAAATAAAGCACCTAAAGTACTTTCTTTAGCTTACTATACATCAGATTTTCGAGCTTTTTGTTGTTGTGGTATAAAACTTTATATAGAACTTGACTTGGTTCTCATCCCACATACATTTGTATACTTTATTATATAGAATGATTCGTGAATATTAAAATCCATGTTAACATAACTTGTCACTTTCTCTCTGAAGCATCATATTCTCGTAAAGATAAAGATCAAAGGAAACAGCAGGCAATGTGGCGAGTTCCCTCTGATTTAAAGATGCTGAAAAGACTCAAAACGCAAATGGCTGAAGTTCGGTGTATGAAAACTGATGTAAGGAATACACTTTCAGAGATAAAAAACACTAGTACTGCTTCAGGAGACATGCAGGCTGGTCTGTTTTCTTCTGACCAGCCAGCTCTGGCTGCATGTGGAACTGAAAACTCTGGCAGAATACAGGATTTAGGAATGGAACTCTTGGCAAAGTCATCAGTCAGTAGTTGTTACATACGAAACTGTAAGTGAAGAAGTTCCTATTAATGTCGTTCCTTCTTTGGGAAGTTAGAGGATGGGCTATTTTCAGAATAATAAACATCTCCATTACAATGAAATTAAACTATAAATGCATACAGATTTTTTCATTCACCTAAAATTTTTCTTTATATATTTTCTACTATGTAGTAAAGCCAACTTTTTTCTTTTTGTGTAGCACCCTTTAGGGTTGCAGTTCAAGCCCAGAACTGCACATATGTGAGACATGCCCTTTATACCTGGCCCAGTGCTTTTTTTTTTCCCAGTGCTTTTTTTTGATTGCTTATACTCGGCAATAAACGTGACAAAACCCTTAAACCTCAGGTATCTTAGATTCATTTATTCATGTTGGTGGGTCTTAAATATTTAACTGGGTTGGCAAGTAAAGATAATTTCAGCTGGTAAAATACCAACTGATTACCAGCTGAAATACCAACTGAATCTCAGTTGGTGAAGGAACTATGGTGGGGTGAAATGGAGGCAGATGAGTTTGCTATTTTAGTTAGCATAATCTTGGCGAATCTTTGAAGAGGCAACATTTGAATTGAGACGCATGTTGAGAGGGTGGCAGTCATGCAAAGGTCTGGGAGGGAAGCAGTCTTAGGGTAAATCGAACAGACAGTGCAAAGTCACTGGTACGGTATTTACCAAATTTGAAGACTGGAAGCAAAGACCAGTATGACTAAATAAGAACACATTTAGATTATTTATCTTTTGAACATTCTGGTTGTACTTTTCATTGTATGTTTGTTTTTGGGCCACACCCAGTAGTGCTCAGGGACTATTTCTGGCTCTGCTCAGAAATGACCCCTCTTGGTGCTTAAGTAAGGGACACTGTGGTGGCGGGAATTTGAATTGGGGTTGGCAGAATGCATGGCAGGCACCTTAACCCTTTACTCTCTGTTCAGCTATGCTGAAGATCAAACATGGGCATCCCTTATGTAGTGCATGCATTCCAGTCCATTGAAATGCTTCCCCAGCCCACGTAAGGATCTTTTCCCCCAATATAGTAAATAAAGCACCTTCCATGCATGGTATGATGAAACCTTTCTTTACTTCCTGGGTAGCAAGTTTTTTGCTAATTGGGCTATGTTCAGAAATGTTTTTAATTATCTTTGCAGCCGCAAATAAGAAGAGCAATTCTCCCAAGCCAGTTCGATCCAGTCTGGCAGGTAGTCTGTCACTTCGAAGAGCAGTAGACGCTGGGGAAAATAGCCGTTCAAAGGGAGACTGTCAAACTCTGTCTGAAGGTAAATTTGAAGAGTTCAGGATGTAATTTCAGTGGGTAGGTGTCTGTTACTTAAAATAACCTTATGCTGTAGCTGTAAGCACCTAAATACTGAAGCTTGTTCTCATAAAAGAACCAACTCAGTGGTAAAAAAATGGAACCAATAAAGCTATGTCTTCTGTACTCCTTAATTTTAAAAAGACTGGGATGTAATTTTAAATTGTATTTCAGTTTTTCAGCAGTTGAAAATGGATAAGATTTTCTAAATAGATACTAGGGAACAAAGTTTCTTTGGCTTGTTCCTGAATACCCCTTCTGTTTTCGAAGGTTCCCCAGGAGGCTCTCAGCCTGGGAGCAGGCACAGTTCTCCCAGAGCCCTGACGCATGGCAATGTCACTGACATTCTGCCTAAATCTGAAGACCGGCAGTGTCAAGCTTTGGATTCAGATGCTGTTGTGGTTGCAGTTTTTAATGGCTTGCCTAGTGTTGAGAAAAGGAGAAAGATGATCACCGTGGGGTAAATTAAATTATTTTACTTCTCTAATGGAATAGTACTTAATAGGGTTACTTAACACTTCTAAGTCTGCATTATAATAAAATTAATTTCTACTGCAGTAACTTCTCAGCAGACAAAAAGTTTACTTGTACTGAAGTATAACCTTCATGTATCAGAAACCCTATTGTTTTTTGTTTTCTTCAAATTAATAAAATCGTACCAGAAATTTAGGTTAAACATGTCAGCTCAGGACCAGAGAGATAATACAGTGGGCAAGGTGTTTGCCGTGCATGTGGCTGACCCAGGTTTGATCCAGCATTCCATATGGTCCCCTGAGCATTGCCAGGAATGATTCCTGAGTGCAGAGCCAGGAGCAAGTAAACCCCGAGTATCTCCAGATGTGTTCCAAAACAAACAAATAAAGCCAACTGGTTAGGGTAATATTCGTTATAATATTGCTCTACATTGTGCAGTGTTGATAATATACTGGGTTTTATAATTTACATTATGATATAAATGGTGTAAAATAGTTACAAATAATATACCTCAAATAAAACGAGGCCATAGTGTAATGGTTCACTAGACTGTGCTCAGTAGAAATTCACTGAAAATTTTTATTTTATCTATTTTTATTCCCAATTACTCAGTTCAATCTTGCCCAATTCAGGGCTCAGTAAATGTTAGCTGATTATACTGACTAGTAAAAGTGGTGAGAAGAAATGAACATATTAACCCTCTTAGCTGAATGTCAAGTAGAATTTACTTGGGAAAGTTTAGTTTAAGAAATATGTAAACTGCATGTGGCATATAAGTAAACTCAGATGCCAACAAAGCAAACCATTAAATAGAAAACACTGGCACTGGAATAAATAAAGGCAAGATTTGCCAATGGAGAAAATGGAACTGGTATAAAAGATCACTTAATCACTTATCACTTAATCCCCGTTATTCATCGATTTATTCGAGCGGGTGCCAGTAACGTCTCCATTCCTCACGGTTGCGTGCTAGCGTAGCCCAATGGTATCTGTTCGTTTTAGGAACATGTAGAGCCTCAAACCGATCATTTAGGGTCTTGACGAAGAAGTCTGACCATCTTATAGGTGGGCGTCCACGTGATCTTTTGATGTCTCGTGGAATCCAATCAGTAATGGCTCTAGTCCAGCGGTTGTCTGTAAACCTCATTACATGTCCAGCCCATCTGATTTTTGATGTCTTGGCAAATGAGACAGCGTCTCTGATTCTTGAGCGTTGACGAAGATCAGAACTTCGGATTCTATCTCTCATTTGAGTGAATCGTGATATTCCAAGCATAGTTCTTTCGATTCCTCTTTGAGAGACCCGAATAGTGTTCTCATCCTGTTTTCGTAGGGTCCAGGTCTCTGAGGCATATGTTAATGCAGGAAGAATAGTGGAATCAAAGAGATGTGCTCGTAGTTGGAGGTTCTTTGTCCTTTTAGTTATTTCTTCAATGCTCTTGAAGGCATTCCAAGCCGCTCTCTTCCTCCTGCGTAACTCAGGTGCCAGGTCATTCATCATGTTGATTTCTCGACCTAAGTATATATAACTGTTGCATTCGGAGATGGTGGTTCCGTTGAGAGCGAATGGAGCGTCAGGAACAAGGCTGTTTCTCATAAACATTGTCTTCGTAAGATTCAGCTGTAGTCCAACCTTTCCACACTCACGGTCAAAGTCCGCAAGCATTTGTGCTGCTTGGCTGATGTTTGGTGTTATTAGAACTATGTCATCAGCAAAGCGGAGGTGGTGTAGTTGCCGACCATCTATCTTCACTCCCATGTTTTCCCATTCTAGTTGTCGCATGATGTTCTCGAGGGTGGCACTGAAGAGTTTTGGTGAAATGGTATCACCCTGCCGAACCCCTCTCTTGATATGGATGATTACTTCTTTGTAGAATGGTGAGATCTTGGTAGTGAATCCGCAATAGAGCTCACGAAGGATCCTGATGTATTGAGTTTGTACGCCCTGATTGGCTAGGGCTTCCATGACCGCTTCCGTCTCAACAGAATCAAAGGCCTTCTTTAAATCAATGAACGTTAGACAGAGCGGCATCTTGAACTCCCGAGATACCTCAATGAGCTTGGTTATTGTGTGGATATGGTCGATGGTACTGAATCCTTTTCGGAATCCAGCTTGTTCACATGGTTGTCCTTCATCTAGTGTTCTGCTAATCCTATTCAGGATGACTCGAGTGAATAGTTTGTAGATGACAGACAATAGGCAGATTGGGCGATAGTTGCCAATGTCGTGGATGTCTCCTTTCTTGTATAGTAGTACAGTCTTGCTGGTTTTCCATTGGGATGGAACCTTGCATTCAGACAGGTAGCGTGTGAAGAGTCGAGCTAATGTATTGATGAGTACTGATGGTAAGTTCTTCAGGTGTTCAGGTCTGATCTTGTCTGGGCCAGGTGCTTTTTGTTTCTTTACCGACGAGATGGCATGTTGGATTTCGGAAGGGAGAACATTGGGAACGACATATCCATCATGTGGTATGTGGTATGTGGGCAAGTGGATGTGGCTATTAAAGAGATCTGAGTAGAATTCATGAATAATCTTCTCCATTGCCCTTCTGGAAGATGTGATAGATCCATCATGATGTCGGAGGGCAGTCATCTTGGTTTTGTAGTTGGTGAAGGACAGGCGGGCATTACGAATGTTTTTCCCAGCTTCTGCTGCATCTACCAGTACTGCTGCTCTCCTGTTTTTGAGGTCATCCTTGATGGCTTTTCTGCACTGTTTTGCCAGTTCGGACGTTTGCTTGTGGTTGCCTGAGGCACGTGCCACGCCACGTTGGCGAATAAGTTCAAGAGTGTTCGAAGAAAGACGGTTTTTTGTGGTTATCTCTCTCTTGGCATTCCTTGCACAATCATGGAGGTGCTGAATCATTCGATCGTATTCCTCATCAATGTTGTCAATGACGGCATCTTCCCATGTTGCTGCAACAGAGCCAAAGAGTTCCCAGTTGGTGGTTGTTCTGGGAGTCTTCTTCTTAAACCTTGCATTCTTTTCTCCTCGTTCTGTGAGGTAGAATTTTGCACGAAGAAGACGGTGGTCTGATCCCGTTTGGAATTTTGGGACAACAGCAACATCGGTTAGGCAAAACCGCCGATTGAATATGATGTGGTCTATTTCATTGTGGAACCGTCCATCGGGAGACTCCCATGTCCAACGTTTAGATTCAGCCTTTTGGAATTGTGAGTTACCATGGAAGGTTTTGGTTGACATGATGAACTCAGACAGTCTGTCACCTTGTTCGTTCCATTCCAGGCCATGGGTTCCAATGTGGAGTTCATCGACTGATCTTCTTGGTCCTATCTTGGCATTAAAATCACCAACAATGATCTTGTAGAAGGTGTGATCTTCTTTATAGAATTTCTCCAGCTCCATGTAGAATTTCTCAGTTTCTTTTTCACCATAACTGGATGTTGGTGCGTAGACAACAAAGATAGAAACTGCCGGTAGTGAGCCACATTTATTCAAGTGTAATCGTCCGATTCGGGTTGTTAGGCATTCAAATGAATCAATGCTTGTGACTAAGTTTGTGTTGACAAGGATACCGACACCACCGACGCCTCTTTTATCACATGTTCCAAGGAACAGTTCTTCTCCAGTGTCGAAAACAGCATGATGGGATTGATGTCTTCTCGTTTCGGTCAGACCAATGATGTCGTACTTGATCTTTCGTGCTTGTACCATAAGGTCTTCAATGGATGCAGCAGATGCCAGCGTACGAGCATTAAAAGTACAGACAATCATTTTTGTTTTTCTGCGTTTTGGCAGCCCATGTCTGCCTTGGTGTTTTATCAGCTTCTCCTTCCATATCCTTCTCGATTCTGCATAATCAGGGCTAGGGGAATGAGATCCATTTATTACTGGATTTGGCATATCAATTTGGTCTATTTGGCATAGATCACGGATAGCTTGCCAGGCTCTGCCGTGTGGGTTGGATATTTAAGGATATTTAAGGTATCCGGAAAATTATTAAATAAATAGTCGCGCGGCCGCGAATGCGGCCGCGCGCTCCCGGGAGCTTGTTGTGATAATCTTTGGATCCTGGCCTTTGTTGGGGTTACACGGCAGTTGGAGGGTGTAACTGTTTAGCTACTGACAGGTCCAGTCCCAAACCGTGCAGGCTTAGAGATCTCAGTCCCGGGTCTGAGTAACCCCAACAAAGGCCAGGATCCAAAGATTATCACAACAAGCTCCCGGGAGAGCACAAGGCAGAGACCCGGGTATAAAAGATAATCAAGAAAAATTTATATTGGACCATACCTTTTCTCACCCAATTTAGTTTGAGACAGGCCAATAGAGGCACTGTAACAGAATATGGCTGTCTTCCTTTGTATTCAGGACATCCTAGTTTTCAATTATGAATTATGGACTTGTTACCCATTAATTGGTATAAACCTATTCAGATTTAGGGATTAGTTTCCACAAGTACAAAACTGAGTTTCCTTTTACTTGTCCTAAAATGCTTACTTTCAAACTGGAACGGACTTCAATTATTCCTTGTAGTTTCGATAACATTTTATCTTTTCAGACCAGAGTCAAAATATTTGCACAGTATTCATACTGCAGCACCTTCCACCCACCCTTTGGTCGCTTGAACTGCCCCTCTTTGGTTCTTTTTCCTTTTTCTTAGATCTTTCTTGAAGTGTAATAAGCAGAACTGTACTGGGTATTCAGCTGCAGTTTGGTCTTAAATAAAAGAAGGATGTTTGTCAGTTTGATTTTCTTTATTCTTCTCTGTGGTATACAGAATTTTGTTAGTTGAACTGGATGTTGCAGCTCACTGGCCAAATTTTCAGAATAGTACAATAGTTCTCAGGTCTTTTTTCCCTGGGTTGTAACTTAACAGCTCATACTCTATGTTGCACCTTTCCTTTCTCACTGAAGCATTATCTGTCATTTTTCTTCTTGCTTACTTGGCTATTATTGTCAAAATGACTTCTGCTGTGTCACAGTCTTCCCGTCAGTCTAGTGTTTCTAGGACTATAAGATCTTTTATAGTTGTAAGCAAAGGACTGACTACTGGATCTCCTTCTTTTATAACTTCGACTTCGAGAATGCTTGTATCCGTCATAATCATCATAGTGTGAAGAACTGTACACATTTCTCCCTTCCTTGGCTTTCATCTAATTTGGTGTTTTCCTATCTCCCTGTGCAAACTGTATCTCAGTTTGACGTCCACAAATCCATTTTCTGTCCAAGTTATGTAAAGCATCTTCAGTATCACAAACATCCTCAAATTGAACATAAGCAAATCCTCTGGGTTGGCAAGTGTGGAAATCAAGTGGAACATACACATCAACTGTAGGCTCATAATGACCAAATTTCCACCATAAATCTTCAGACCTGGTGTCGTCGGCCACATTTCTGACGAACAGAGATGTGTTGGGGGGATGCAGGTAGTGGGACATGATGCCGCGTGACTCTCAGCAAGGGCACTAACAGGCTCATCAAACCATCCACGGCTCCACTGGCGGATCCTTGGTTGTTTTTCTTTTTTTTTTTTAAGTAAAATGTTTACTTAAATTTTTCAGTTTTATTTGGTACATTTACACAATGGAGTACTATGTAGCTGTTAGAAAAGATGAAATCATGAAATTTACATACAAGTGGTACTACATGGAAAGTATCATGTTAAGCGAAATGAGTCAGAAAGAGCGGGATAGACACAGAAAGATTGCATTCATCTGGGAAACATAAAGCAACAACACGGGAGACTAACACCCAGGAATGGCTGAGATTAGTACCAGGAATTTTGCTCCATGAATGGAAGGCCAGCCACATGTGCTAGGTGAAAAGGAAGCTCAGATAGAGAAGGGAGCACCAAATAAAGGGTGTTGTGAGGACCCTCCCAGGGTGGGAGAAGCATGCTGAAAGTAGTCTATAGACCAAACATGATTGCCACTCAAGGCCTCTCTTGCGAAACACAGTACCCCAAAAAAGAGAGAGAGAACAAGGGGGAATGCCCTGCCACAGAGGCAGGGTGGGACGGGGGAGATGGGGGGTGGGAGGGATGCTGGGACCCGTGGTGGTGGAGGATGGGCATTGGTGGAGGGATGGGTACTTGATCATTGTATAACTGAAACCCAAGCACAAAAATTTATAAGTCTATAACTGTACCTCATGGTGTTTCACTAATAAAAAAAATAAAAGAAAAAAATTTTTCAGTTTTATTGTAGGCACTGTGACTTGGAATACTGTTGATAACAGGGTTTCTTGCATAAATATATCTAGCACCACATCCTCCACTAAACTGTTGGCTTCTCTTCACGATTGCCCCAATGTTCCCTCATCCTACTCTTTCCTCCTCTTATCTCTCCCCACACTGTCTTGGTAAACTTCTTATTGACCAGTTCTCACTTTCTGTTGCCTTTGGGCATTTGTTATTCCTCTGCCATATTTAAGTATCCCACATATGAGAGAGGTCATTCTGTGTCTATTTCTCTCCTTCTGACTAACTTCACTCAGCATGATTCTTTCCAGGTCTAACCAGTAGCAATAAATTGCATGATTTCATCTTTTTTTTTCTGGCCAAGTAGTATTCCTCTAACCCTTACAGTAGCATCAACACGGCTCTATATTTTCTATCTTGTTGGGTTTTTTCAATTCCCTATTTAAAATGGTTTGTGCAAAAATTATAAATAATAAATGATTCAAGATAGAAATATTTTTTAATTATTAAATTTATACCATCTTTGCCTCCCATTTATGAAGATTTCCACATCTCTGACACACATGCATTCCTGCAGTTTTTTATCTGTGCTGTCTTCTCAGTTTTTATGCATGTTTATCAACGGTGACTATATAGCTTTTTATTAATAAAGGAGTACCTATTTTCTCAGTCAATAACATGTTTGTTAGCATTTTTTCCATGTTAGTGAAAACACATTATTTTCGACTTGTATTTAGATTTTTAATTTTGTGTGTGTGTGGTGGGGTGAGTGGGTAAAGGACTTTGGAGGCTGAATCTAGATCTTGTCATGTTGAATGATATGATCTGTCATTGAGCTACATTCCTAGCCTCTAAACTTTGTTTTAAATATTAAAATTTTTATTGACACATGGAGTTATAAGATAATAGGAAGACATTTTGTGTTTGTTACCCAGGAATTCTCTAATGACAACATTTTTAAAGCTGTAGTACAGTATCATAATTAGGATATTCAACTTAATATAGCCTACTCTTAAAACTTTTCATTGTGAATCTTGTAATGAATATTTTACAAACAAAGCCTGAGAGGTCCAAGAAAATATATTGAGCTGAGTCCTCAGCACTACACGACAACACCCCACTCATCATACCTTCCCTAAAACAAAGCAATATATATCATCTTTGGTTTGATACTTCACTTCAGGACAAGGGAAAAATAAACCACAAATTATTGTATCACTTACTAGCTATATAAAAATATCAGGTTGTTTTCTCCCTCTTTGAGGACTAACGCGAAAGGAAGTCATCTGGAAGGAATGCAAATGACTGATTTGGAAAATAATTCTGAAACTGGAGAACTGCAGCCGGTACTACCTGATGGAGCTGCAGCTGCCCCTGAGGAAGGTAAGAAATAATTAAGTCATAGTTAGGCACTTCTGGGTTTCGGGATATTGGTGTAGATTTAGGTTACTGTAAGTTAACTGGAAAGATCATTGGAACATTATCATGTGAAGTGTTTGATCTGCACACAGCGATCAGTGTATGCAGCATCTGATTTATTAAGTAGAGGAAGGCAGAATGGATCAATGATGACATAAAAGGACGTGTCTTACAAGAAGGGGCATTTGGGGAGAGGGTGCTGCAGGGAGGTCGCATGCTCACTGAACAGGTGGATTTATTATGCTTCCTAACTGCTTCCCCAGCACTGATGTTTCACTGAATATGCAAAGACAGATGAGTTCTGTTCAGTCTCATGAAGAAGAAAAGCCTCTACACAACGAATTAGAATGCATATTAAGTACTTTGTCTTTTAAAGTCAGTCTTGCTCATTGCTTATAGATTGCTTTGCAGGTATATTTCAAGTTTTAACCATTTAAAAATTACTTCTTGTTAATCCACTTCAACTCTGCCAAATCATTCTGAGTGAAGTAAAATAGTCTTATTTAAGAGAAATTTACTTAGAGAAATGTGAGGGGAGAAAAAGAGAAACATATGTGTGTTCTGGAGAGAATACAGGCTTCTGCAGAGGTGAAAAAGCTCATGTCATCTTTCTTAATAGTACTTAACATTGGATTTCTTTTTCTTTCATTTTTCACTGAAACTGCCATCTTCCACCTCTGCGCTCATTTGAATTTCAATGATTGATGAATTGTAACTAAAAGCATATACACAGATGCCAGCATCTCCCTACTTCAGGCTGCTCTTGAGAGGGTGTGTGGGTGGTGACATTTTCAGGTTTTTCCATTAAAAAAACAGTAAACATGTTGGTCTTCCCTCCTAGTTGGTGCTGCTTTAGTGAGCCACCTTATTTCCACAGGAGCAATTAAATGGAATGTACTTTTGAGGTAATATGTTGGTTGTTAAAACATTAAGAAAGGAATGCTGTGTGTGTGTGTGTGTGTGTGTGTGTGTGTGTGTGTGTGTGTGTGTTCGTGTTCTAGAAATGACCTGTCAGGATTAGCCAATTTCCATTTACTTGTACATATTGATTACAAACTGTAATAATTTAAATTCTTACAGCATGTGATGGAATTACAGGCTCTTAATTTTTGTTTTTGGGATCATGTCCAGAAGAGCTTAGGACTAACTCAGATGGGAGTATCAGATGTGCATGGGGGACTGGGGGACCATGAGGTGCTGGGGGATTGAACCCAGGATTTTTGCCTGTAAAAGATGGACTATAGGGGCCAGAGCAATAGTACAGCCGGTAGGGCATTTGCCTTGCATGTGTCCAACTCGAGTTCAATCCCCAGCATCCCATATGATCCCCTGAGCACCACCAGGAATAATTCCTGAGTGCAGAGCTAGGAGTAACTGAGCATTGCACAGTGTGACCCAAAAAGCTTAAAAGGAAAAAAGTGCACTCCAGCCATTTGCACCATCTTCCTGGTCCTTACATGCCTTTTTAATTCATGCATCATTTATGAAATGATTCTTATTTGCCTGTCCTTGCATTTAGTGTTGATGACAAAGTAATTCCTAAACCTACCCACTGTCTTGGTTAAGGTTCTCTCCCTTGGTACAGTACTTGACATTTTGGTCCAGGTTGTTTTTTATTATGGGGGGAGGTTTCCTTGTGCATTGTAGAATGTTTAGCAGTATCCTTGGATTTAACTACCATAGATGTCTCTAGATGCCCCATTGGAGGCAAAATCATTCCCAGTTGAGAACCACCTAATGACTCAGCCAGAGGTGACTTTCAGAATCACTGGCATAGCAGGTCACAGTTATGAATAGGAACAAGTTATAACTCACTAAGGTCAGCTTAGTGTGTTATAACCGTGTTATAACCATGTATGATGATGGTGATTGTTAAATGGCAGAGAAAGCAATAGGAAACCACAGGTCGAAGAAACCAGTTAAAAGCAGAATAAGTATGTAATAATAAAATGAAGTTTTTATTATAGACTAGAAATTGCTAAAGAATTTTTAAATATTTTATCAATAAGCCATGTATGGTACCTACTTTGGTATCTTGATTGTATAGATAAGGCCTAAAAATTTAGTTCATTTTATCTTAATTCACAAATTAATAAATTAAAAGACTAGTGTTTGACCTCAGAGCAGCACTCTTAATTATCATCTCTTTATTAACCTAGACCTTTCCACTCTTGGAAAGATCATCAAGGAAATGAGTTAGGCATTAGCCAGGTAAAGACTGTGAGGCACCAATGTCAGGGAATGGTGATACTAAGTTAGACTATATCCTGACTAGAATTTGGATCCTTTGGACGGTATCTAAGAAGTAAGATGATAAGATTACGTTCATTCTTTAGCTGCATTGTGGAGAATGGATTTTGGAGTTATAAATGAAAATCTAGGGTAAGAAAAATGGTAAACATATATAGTTAATTTAGAGTTTATCTCACCCTAAAATTATTGCTAGAAAAAAATTGCTAAAAGTGTGATTTCCTAAATCAAAATTAAGACGTTCAAGTTATCTCCTTGAACGTCTTAATTTTGATTTAGGAAATCACACTTCTAGCAAATTTTCTATATAAATTGAAAATTTTTTAGGGTTTGTGGCATATTACAAGCATACAGGTTCCTGGGCATCCAAGGCGATGAAAAGACTCAAGAATTTGTAAGAATTTGTTTTGGAGCCATATCCAGCAGTGCTCAGGATGTTTTCTTGCTTCTGTGCTCAACAGTTACCCCTGGCAATACTTGGGGGTACCACAGGGGATGCTGATGATCAGACCCAGGTCAGCTGCATGTAAAGGAAGTGCTTTACCTCACTGTACTATTGCTCTGTCCCCGCCCCCCCCCCCCCCGAGAAATATATTTTTATGTAAGTTTTCTTCTGCATTTTTTGAAGACTGCGTTTTCCTGATTGATGTGAAAGCTGAATCAGGCATCAGTGGGTTTAAAGTCATTCTAATTCTCCGCTTTAATTATAGTTAACCTAGGAAACATCTCTTTGATAGCACATACTCTGAGAATGTTAAAAGAAAAACCTATAAATAGTTTAGATCAACTGGAACAGAGATCGCCTTAGAAAGAGCAGGCAGTCAAATTAGTCCTGGTTAGAGCTGTTGCTATTTGTGTTCATGGCTCTGATTGCTGCAATGTAAATATGAATGATTTTATATTTTATAGGAACTTTTCAGTGGTGTTCAAAGGAATAGCAAGTTTGGGGAGAAAGATAAGTTGCATTGGTATTTTTGACCTGATTCTATAAGGTGCTATAAACTTGGCAAGGAAATCTTGTTGCATTGTTTGAATATCATCCAGTGAAGATTGTATAGCATTTTCTAGCTATTGAATATTAACCGTAGTCTACATTTCTTAAAAATAGTAAATGTTTATTAATATAGACACTTAAGCAGTATCAATAATATAATTTTCTACTATAAAGAAAAATAGCAGAAGCTAATTTTTTTTTTGAGAGCCTTACCCCATAGTCCTTAGGGATTACTCCTCTCTCTGCACTCAGGAATCACTCCTGGTGGGACTCAGGGTCATATGGGATGCTGGGGATTGAACCTAGGTCAGCTGCATGCAAGGCAAGCTCTCTGCAGGCCCTATTATCTCTTCGACCCCCAGAAGTTAATTTTTAAAATACATGTCAAGAGTTTAGAAGTCTTCTTAAATTATTTGAATTTTAATTAAAATTGTGGGGTGTTTGGTCTTACTCTATGATACTCGTCCTGGCTCAGTGCTCAAGTTCATATTGGGCAGCATAGTCATAAGCAATACTGGATGTCAACCAGGATTGGTTGGAAAGCACTGTAAACCTTAAACTATCTCTTTTTTCTTTTTAATTACATTTTTATGAATAATTTGTGAATTTTGGATTTTCAGAGAATTTCAACACCATGTTTGTTCAGAGATTGTTTTCTATCAGGAATTTTAAAAAGCTGGTATAAAAAGGTCAAATTTGTACCTGGAAATTTAGAAACTCCAGTCAGTTGGCTTTAGTGTTTTCACTACAGTTCCGTGAAATGCCACAAGGTGGAGATGGTTTCTTACCGAGGTAGTGGAATTTTATCCGTGAAGTTACTATTTTTATTTTAATCCGTGAATTTTAACACGTGAAGTTACTCTTTTGAGCTGTAAGGGTTTTCTTAGCTGTACATGGGGATTTCAGAAATGTCCATGCATTCATCTTACTATAGTTTACACATATTCAAGGAAGAAATAATCCTGCAAAAACTCCTGAAAATTCAGAAGTCGCTTGGGATGATAGTTTTCTTTGTTAAAAATTTAACTACAGGGGCTGGAGCGATAGCACAGCGGTAGGGCCTTGCACGCAGCCAACATGGCCGACACAGGTTCGATTCCCAGCATCCCATATGGTCCCCCGAGCACCGCCAGGAGTAATTCCTGAGTGCATGAGCCAGGAGCAACCCCTGAGCATCGCCGGGTGTGACCCAAAAAGAAAAAAAATAAAAAATTTAACTACAAATTTCTTTTTTATTTTTTTAATTTTTATTTATTTTTTTAATTTGTGAAACACCATGAGGTACAGTTGTAGATTTATAAACTTTCGTGTTTGGGTTTCAGTTATACAATGATCGAGTACCCATCCCTCCACCAGTGCCTATTCTCCACCACCAATGATCCTAGTAGCCCTCCCACCCCAACCCCATCCCGCCTCTGAAGCAGAGCATTCCCTTTTGCTCACTCTTTCCTTTAGGGTCTTGTAGTTTGCAATAGAGGTATTGAGTAGCCATTGTGTTCAGTCTATAGTCTGCTTTCAGCATGCATCTCGCATCCTGAGCGAGTCCTCCAAATATCCTTTACTTGGTGTTCCCTTCTCTATCTGAGCTGCCTTTCCTCCCAACATGTGCTGCCAGCTTCCAAGCCCTGGAGCAGACCTCCTGGTACTTAACTATTCTTGGGTGTTCGACTCCCATTCTGTTACTTTATATTCCCCAGATGAGTGCAGTCTTTCTGTGTCT